CAGGTTTATTCCATAAGTGAATCTGGGCTTTACACCTGAATATTAAAACAAGAAACATTTTGGAAATGGAATATAAGTATGTATAAGAAAAATACTAACTGCTATAACAAAAAAGCCTACACACTGATTGGCTTACCAAAATAAAAGTGTTTTTTTTTTTTTCTTATTCGTAGCCAGTCTAATATGGATTAGCAAAATGGAGAGTGGGGTTTCTATTCCACACAGTTAAAGGGAGCTTCAGTCCCTTCAATCAATAGCTCTACCATCTCTTACAGAGGCCCAAATTCTCCAAGGTCCCTTCTTTCTATTTAATATTAGGAAAGAGAAAGAATGTCAAGTATTGTCACAGTAGTGTATAGATCATGTCTGGAGGTAGCATGCATAATGTGCCTATGAAGTATTAGCCAATAACTCAGTCACTTTACTGTATTTCAACTACAAGTGAATCTGGGATGTGTTGGCTAATTTTCAGACCTAGAATAAAGGAGAAACCGGTAAACAAATCATCCATGGTTTTCAAGACTCTCACATCTAGACAATTTATAACTTCCATCCCTGAAGTTCCCTGAGTGGCTCTGATACTTACTGCTACCTGAACCATAATTTTGAGTTACAAACTCCTGTGTTCTTATCAGCCTCTTTACATACATCATCCTATATGATACTTTCCAAATCTTGAAATAGTACTGTTGCCAACTAACAGAAACACATACTAGAAAAGATTAAGTGCCCTACATAAGATTATTGCTTACTTAAACTGGTTAGCAGTAGAGATAATATCCAAATAGGAAACTTCGAAGACATGTTCTTTGTAATATATTGTAGTGCCATGATAACTAAAACAATGAACATCATACATGTGATATTAATAAATTTGTCAATTATATTTTTATTTCAATTTTTTTAAGTCTGATTAGTAACTAATGGGGCATGATATTGACATTACAGGTCACTTAATTCCCAGTGCATGAATGTCTTAATCTTTTAAATAACACCTAAATCTTTTTCTTTTCAGAGATACTATGATTCCATAAGTTTTAACCTACCTTAAAATATGGATTGAGATTTTCTTAATTATTTCTGAAAGGTCTAAACTGTCAAGCCATGACTATTTCTAGAGTAATACTAGTCCAGATTTACATGTTTATTTTAGTAACGTAGACCTTAGAATTAGTTTTAAAGTTGTCTTTTTAATTCAACTTTCAAGCAGATTTTCAAATTAGTTTAAAGATGATCTACCTTTTTGTGATATTTTAATTATAGATATCAATCTCCATGAAGTACGTAATTGTCCTTATTTTACGTAGTAGTTTTAATACATTCCAAAAAATTAAGTAGTTTTAATACATTCCAAAATTAAATTAAGTTTGATCTGACTAATCTCCTTGTTAGAATATTAAGGACAATATTGTTAGAATATTAAGTTACCTATTTTTAAGTAGTGGACATTTGAACTTAGGTAGTGCTGAAGAGGAAAGACAGTTTGCAGATATTCTGTGAATGTTGTAATTGCTTTTTTTTTCCTTTTACTTTAACAAGACTGGATTACGACATCCCTTACCTCACTGAAGAAAAGTTCCTGTTATTTTGCACTCCTAGCACTTATTTTAGTACTTATATGTAAGGCAATAAATCAAGAAGCAGTTCTGAATCTATTCGTAGTAAACCAAAACATAAGGGAGCAATGTGCTTTTTTTTTTTTTTTTTTTTTTTTTTTTGGATGCCTAAATTGTGTACTTAATTTAATTTTATTTTATTTTATTTTATTTTATTTTATTTTATTTTATTTTTTTTTTTATAAATTAATTTTTATTGGTGTTCAATTTACCAACATACAGAATAACACCCAGTGCTCATCCCGTCAAGTGTACCCCTCAGTGCCCGTCACCCATTCACCCCCACCCCCCACCCTCCTCCCCCTCCACCACCCCTAGTTCATTTCCCAGAGTTAGAAGTCTTTATGTTCTGTCTCCCTTTCTGATATTTCTCACACATTTCTTCTCCCTTCCCTTATATTCCCTTTCGCTATTATTCATATTCCCCAAATGAATGAGAACATACACTGTTTGTCCTTCTCCGGTTACTGTGGCCAAGTTCAAAAAGGGTGTTGCCTGAGTTCTCCTCTGGGATTTTGATGGAATCTTGTCTCACATTTAGATCTTTCATCTATTTTGAGTTTATCTTTGTGTATGGTGCAAGAGAGTGGTCCAGTTTCATTCTTCTGCATGTGGATGTCCAATTTTCCCAGCACCATTTATTGAAGAGACTGTCTTTCTTCCAGTGGATCGTCTTTCCTCCTTTATCGTATATTAGTTGAGCATAAAGTTCAGGGTCCACTTCTGGGTTCTCTGTTCTGTTCCATTGATCTATATGTCTGTTTTTGTGCCAGTACCACACTGTCTTGATGAACACAGCTTTGTAGTACAACCTGAAATCTGGCATTGTGATGCCCCCAGATATGGTTTTCTTTTTTTAAAATTCCCCTGGCTGTTTGGGGTCTTTTCTGATTCCACACAAATCTTAAAATAATTTGTTCTAAGTCTCTGAAGAAAGTCCATGGTATTTTGATAGGGATTGCATTATACGTGTAAATTGCCCTGGGTAACATTGACATTTTCACAATATTAATTCTGCCAATCCATGAGCATGGAATATTTTTCCATCTCTTTGTGTCTTCCTCAATTTCTTTCAGAAGTGTTCTGTAGTTTTTAGGGTATATTTTGAGAACCATTTGAATGGTAAATGGTTCTCCAACCTTTTATTTTCAGGTTGTAGGTGTCCTTCTGTCTAAAATGAGTCTCTTGTAGACAGCAAATAGATGGGTCCTGTTTTTTTATCCAGTCTGAAACTCTGCGCCTTTTGATGGGGTCATTAAGCCCATTCACGTTCAGAGTTACTTGAACTTCTTCTTAAAGGGGAGTTTTAAGAGTCCCCCTTAAAATTTCTTGCAGAGCTGGTTTGGAGGTCACATATTCTTTCAGTTCCTGCCTGTCTTGGAAGCTCTTTATCTCTCCTTCCATTTTGAATGAGAGCCTTGCTGGATAAAGTATTCTTGGTTGCATGTTCTTCTCATTTAGGACCCTGAATATATCCTGCCAGCCCTTTCTGGCCTGCCAGGTCTCTGTGGAGAGGTCTGCTGTTACCCTAATATTCCTCCCCATGAAAGTCAGGGACTTCTTGTCTCTTGCTGCTTTAAGGATCTTCTCTTTATCTTTGGAATTTGCAAGCTTCACTATTAGATGTCGAGGTGTTGAACGGTTTTTATTGATTTTAGGGGGGGATCTCTCTATTTCCTGGATCTGAATGCCTGTTTCCCTTCCCAGATTGGGAAAGTTTTCAGCTAGGATTTGTTCAAATACATATTCTGGCCCTCTGTCCCTTTCGGCGCCCTCGGGAACCCCAATTAAACGTAGGTTTTTCTTCCTCAGACTGTCATTTATTTGCCTTAATCTGTCTTCATGGTCCCTTAATTGATTGTCTCTTTTTTCCTCAGTTTCCCTCTTTGCCATTAACTTGTCTTCTATGTCACTCACTCGTTCTTCCACCTCGTTAACCCTCGTCGTTAGGACTTCTAGTTTGGATTGCATCTCATTCAATTGATTTTTAATTTCTGCCTGATTGGATCTAAATTCTGCAGTCATGAAGTCTCGTGAGGCCTTAATGCTTTTTTCTAGAGCCACCAGTAGCTGTAGAATAGTGCTTCTGAATTGGCTTTCTGACATTGAAGTGTAATCCAGATTTTGTAACTCTGTGGGAGAGAGGGCTGTTTCTGATTCTTTCTTTTGAGGTGAGGTTTTCCTTCTAGTCATTTTGCTCAGTGCAGAGTGGCCAGAAACAAGTTGTATTGGAACACGGGGGAGTATCACTGGTCCGTCCAGCTGGTCTTCTGGGGGAGGGGCCTGCTGTGCTGATTTTCAGGTGTTAGCACTTGGGGGAGCTGCTCTGCCCCTGCCTGCTGCAGGGCTCAGCGGGGGTTGTTTACCCCGTGGGGCCCCAGGAGGAACAGCCGCAGTTGCTATGGCAACTCTGGAAGCCTGGATTCAGCCTCCGCAGGAACTACGGGGCTCGGGGCTCTCGGTTCTCCGTCCGCAGGGCCTGGAGGCTCCGGGGCGGGGCCGCTGATCTGCTCAGCTCGGGGCAGGAGCGTCCTCGCTGTCTGGGCCCTCCCGGCCTCTGCCTGTCCCGGGGGAGGCCGGATCCTGGGCTGTGTCCCGGCGCCCTGTGCTCCGGGGCCTGCGCTGTGGGATTCGCGCTCCCGCCCCGCAGCCCCCTCCGCGGAGCCGCCGCCCGAGCCCCTCCGAGCTGCTCCGGTCGGTCCCGCCGTGCGCGCTGCAGCCCTTAGGGAGCTCGGAGCACTCTCCTGCGCTCGCAGGTGTCTGTTAGTGTCCCAGGGAGCCCGAGGCCATCCCCGCTCTCCTGGGTCCTGCTCCACCTCCCTGCGAGCCCCTTTCCGCCCGCCCGGGAAGGTTGGTGCAGCTCCTGCTCCTCCGGGACGGGGCTCTCCTGTCCTGGGGACACTCGCCCCGGCCTCAGCCCGGCTCCTCGCGGGGCCCCTCCCCCTCGGAGGCCTTTTGTTCCTTTATTTCTTTTTCCCCGTCTTCCTACCTTGATAGAAGCGCGGACTCTTCTCACTGTAGCATTCCAGCTGGTCTCTCTTTACATCTCAGGCCGAATTCGTAGATTTTCAGGATGGTTTGAAGGTTATCTAGGTAATTTGGTGGGGACAGGTGACCTGGGGACCCTGCTCTTCCGCCATCTTGCCCCTCCCTCGTGTCGGGAGCAATGTGCTTAATCACATTTTAAAACTCATAATTCAATTCTTCTTCTGAAACTTATAAAATATACTTATCAATAATTGTGACAGACTCATAGCACAATTTGTATGATGCAGCTGCCTTCCTAGGAATTTTCTAATTTTCTGTGCTTTTGGCACACCCACATATGTATTCCTGTGTTTACTTTCACAATAACGTTTACTAAAACTATTATTTCTTCCACAGGGGGACGTAATGAAGTTGTCATTACTGAAAACAATAACAGCATAACTGAGCAAATCACTGATGTTGTGAAGCAACCAGCCTTTATAGCTGGAATTGGTGGTGCCTGCTGGGTAATTTTGATGGGTTTTAGCATCTGGTTGTATTGGCGAAGAAAGAAGAGAAAGGGACTCAGTAACTATGCTGGTAAGAGACTATTTCTAGCTAAGAAAATCTCCTGTCTTTAAGAATGTGATGAAATGAAGGAGAAGGAATGAAATTGAATAACAAGTGAATGAATGAACGAACAAATGGATGAATGTTTTGGTTTGTTTTAAACACTTGATCTATAAAATGCAATTATAAACATGTTTTAATGCATTTCTTCTCATCATATCACATTATGACCATAAGGCAAGCTTTTTTGCTTGTATCTCCAGTGAAGTGGAACAAGAAAACGCGCAGATAAATGTGTAACCATTTTTTCTCAACTAGTTCTTCAACACACACATACACACACACACACACACGCACACACACAGACTGCATGCTATGAAGCCATTATCTGAGAAGTGGATTCAGGCAAGATCATTACTAACATCCTTAGGAAGAAAGAAAATATTTGAAATATAGCTTTTAGTATTTTAAGTGCAGATTACAATAGGAAATGTCCCAGATGGCAAATAAAAACAAGAGGAAAATCTCATCAGAATTAATAAGGCTGATGAAGCATGAATTAAATGATTTACTAGTCTAGTCTGTTTCAAGGTGACCTATCAACATTTTAGAAGGAAGAAAAAGGAGAAGAAAAAGAAGAACCTAGAGTACTAGCTACTTGCAAAATGTTTTCTTCTTAGAATCTGAGACAATTTCAAGGATATCAAAAATTGTGGCCTTCAAAACATCTCCAAGGCAGGGAGGGAGATAAGAGAGGGGGTGAAATTACAAGTCAGTGATTAAAAGAATGAACTCAGTATTGAAGCTATGTTCAATAAAAACTTTAATTGCAATTCATGTTAAGTGTTTCCTCTAACAACCACCACCACAAAAATACATTGTCTCAATATTTCAGACTTTCTAAAATTTACAAGGGAACAATTTTAGTTTAACGTCATCCTACAAACACTTCAGAATTTTTTGACACATTCTATTCAATCTTCTATTTCTAGTTTTAACCTTAAGTTTAAATGTTTATAAGTGTCTTAATAACTGACTGTAACAGAAGCTTCATACTTTATTAAGTGTAAGCTGCTCTAGCTTGTAGGCTTCTAAGCCACTGATAATGTCTAAATAGTACAAAATAGAAGGGATAGCAGCACCCTCTTGGTTGTCTTGCTTGTTATTTGACAGCATTTAAATATGATCTTTTGATTATGATTGTGGCTCATGTCCATATCTTATTAAAATAAAGGTATTATTTACCATTAGGGTAAATTTCAGGCCTAGACACAGCAGGACAGTGTATGCATTGAAAAGGGGATCCCATGTTTTGTGAGTTCCAGTCATTGTGCCGTTTTCATTGTCTCATTGGTTGCTGACAGCTTCTTCCTTGTGCTTCGTCCCCTGAGTGCTGTATCACCACATCAGGGAGGGACTCTTTCCAGCAAGGGATGCCTAAACAGGAACTAGTGTCAGAGTCTTGAACATTCATGACACTTTAATGTACCTTCTTGTTCTGCACTCCCCAGTCCTCTACCTTCATTCCTTGTAGGCATTTTCATCAAACGATCTGTTTAATCAATAGCCATGTTATCATTCATGTCTGTAACATACGTATGAATCATGAAAATCACAGGGAAATATTGATTTAATTCTTGGGCTAGTTTGTGTTTATCCCTTTGTTTGACTTTAGTGAAAATAATACAAGATTGATTGCTCAAGTTTCAATGCAGAGTTCTAAGATATCCACATTTGAGGTGTTGCATTTTTATCCTCCACAGTCACTCACTCCTATAAATAACATAGCTCTCATAACTAGTAGGTTTGTGCTTTTAGTAAAATTATGTCAGACAGATTTCTTTGTTCCCTTTCTTTTCCTTTTTTTTAATGGTAGTGCTTTGCAAAACCTATGCATTTAATTTGAAAATATCTGTTGGTCTTTGAGCTTGACAAGAATAATGCATTTCCTATTATCATTTCTCATTGTGATTGATATCCATCTGCTTGTAGAGGAACTGCTAACTCAGAAGGTGCTTTGCCCTTCAAATATTTTGGAATAAGGCCAAGAGTGCAGCCTTTCAAAACCTTTATACTTAATTGATAGATGGCTGACTCTTAGAATGGATTCACCTTCAACTAGTAATTTGCCTTCTAGCAACTGTTATTCTCCTATAGGTGAGAAGCAATTGAAAATCCAAACCTTCGGTGCCTAGCATTGCATATCTGCCTTGATGATATTTTTAACACATTTCCCTCCTTATATATCTTATCCTCCACCTGTTAAAATTTTCATGTTCTTGTCCTTCTACAACTTAAAAAATGGGAATTTACAAATAAGAATGATTAGTGATGTATCATAGGTTTAAATTTCTGATATTTCATGCATAAACTAATGATCCATTTAAGAACACAAAGATTTGATATAAGACTATTTTTTCTTTCTGTGAAGTGTGTTATAAAAATTATAGAATATATACTCTATTTGTACCAGTTCTATTTATATTTTTGGTTTTCATTAAAAATTCTCTGGGAATCTTATAAATTTTACAAGTATGAAGAAAATATGATTTTACTCACAAGGTGAAAAGACTAATATTTTCACTGCAATGGTAATTTGGTGTCCAAACTTTATCTTTAATTCGTGAGAGCATTGGTAATTTTTCCCTAAATAAACAAAAAATCTATTTTTATGAAAAGTATTTAGATTTATTTTGTAACATAAGATTCTTCATTTATTTCAAACCCCAATTCTGATATTAGATTATACTTAGACATCTGATGCAATTTACAAATATACATCCATTTCCTACTTCATTCCAAATCTCTTATTAACCAGCAGAGGCAGAACAGGAGAGATTTTAACTAGTGGAAAGATATGTAACTATCTTTCAGGTTAGAGATTCTCTCAGCAGGATGCCTTCCACTCACCCTGTGTAGGCAAAAACCTACTGACTTCTATTATAGCTAGTCTTTGGCTCTCTGTCATGTGGAAAATTATATTTGAATGTTTAGAAGGAAGAAAAAGAAATATGTGCAACTCAGTATTGATATTTTTCTTATATATCAGAGGATTTAACATATTTATCATAGGACACAAGTGGAATGACCCCTTACATTATAAGAATAACTATCTTCTTTCAAGATATCAAGAATCAAATGCAAACTTTTATATTTAAGTGATCTGAGAGGAGAATTTGTCTTGAACACATTTTGCTTTTTTACACAGCAGAGTGGAGTTTTCCCCAGGCAGTGTTACACACTAACTTCTTATTCCATTTTTTCCCATTTATCTTTTATTTAAATTCTTCAGACACAATCACGTGCCACAGCTTTGCACTTGATGCAAAGAAGGGCGGCTGAAAAAAAATAATAAATAATAAATAATAAAAAAAGAAGGGCAGCTGGATCAAAAAGAACCTTATATTTCATACTCTATATGAAATCATTTTATACTTTCCTAGAGCATCGTATAACATTATTTCTCATACTCTCCATTGAGCATCAACAGTCTACTTGTCACCATGTGAGATTCCTGGCTGCTATAATAATTCACCACCTGAGTTGTAGCATAAGGAATTATAAAAAGATTTGGGCAGAAGATACAGAGAATATTTAAATATTATGTGATTTTTGAGTCTAGAGTAAATGTTTGATCACATATATAACAGTGTTTGTGAGTAGATAAATGAACAGCGTAAGTTTCAATAACAGCCATCAGCTCCCACGAGGATTCTATGCAGCTATATTTTAAATATAATATTTATGTTCATGTATATACATCTTATAATAGGAAGGCTACATGAATCTTTGCAAACTTCTGTTTTTCACTTTTCCATTCATGATTTTTAAGTCGTCGACTTTTTAATGAAAGTATATATATTTTCACTTGTAAAGGAGTGAGTGATAGTTTATGAGTATTATCTCTAAGAACAATAGATTCTATGAAACTCCGTAAGTATAAACAATTTAAGGAGTGAGCAGATTATGAAGTGCTAAACACTTCTTGCATAGGCTTTAAAACCATTGGTGAAATATGAATTATTTGACAAAACTATCTAAAGACAGCTAAAAGATTTGATGGAATTTTTATACTCTGATTATCTGGGCTGAGTTAATGCTTATTAAAAGAGGATTAATCTACATTCATATTTGAGAAATAGCTTATCAGGAATGAGAATGAGACTTGGCTGGCAACATTAAAGTTTCTATTCGGAGTAGGAAAATGTGGCCTAGTAGAGATAGGCACTCTGAAAGCTTCCTTCCCTCAAAATGTCAATTTACCACATGGCTGTATTTCCCTTCCCCCTCATGTTCTAGCAGGCATGAGATTAGGATTAATCCTGTCAGATAATAGTAGAGGTACTTTCTGTGTGATATAAACTTGCAAAATCTCTTTACCTTATATCCTTTATAAATATTGCAATACATTCAAAATATTTAATGCAATTCTAAAACACTTAAGATTGTGGTATTTGTAGAACTGTTTGGACACCTTAGCACTATCCAAATTAGTTTTAGATGAAAACCTCTATATGTTATTCCCTGAAAGTTCTTAACTTTAGATTCTAGCAGGGACTCCTTCATGGTAAAGATTCACACTTCTTTCAAAGTTATCTCTGGTAATCATGCAGTTTTTACACTGTGATTATCAAAATGGTCACTAGAGCAAAATTGTCCAACGACCTCTCCTTCCATCCCTCTTGCTTATAAATTCAAGGAAGTTCAACGTCTCTTTGAAATGAAAGCTGCCTCAAACAGCTTTAAATTTACTGTGGAATTTGTTTATTTTTTTCTCTTCATGAAATGAAAAACTGAAAGAAAGAGAAAGGAAGGGAGGAAGGGAAAATGCTAATCAAAACACCATATATGACTTCTATTATATGCATTCTAATTGCTTGTCCTTATTTTTAGTCTACTTTTCATCTCGTGGTCTAATATGACTCAGTTACTTTTGGTCTACCTTTCAAAACGGAACAAATCTAAAAGTTCGGAGTATGAGGTAAAAGGGAAATTTGAATATTTATGTGCCTTATTTCCCTTGTTTTACAAAAACAATGAATCAACCTTCTTATGATAAGGATTGTTTTGTGCTTGGTTGGTTTTGATTTTGGGTTTTCTTTTGTCATGGAAGCATTCAAAATGGAGAATTTTCATATATATCAAATTCTGTCTATGGATCATTTTAAGTTGGTCATGTATTTATATGATGTACTGTTCATTTTTGCCTTTGATTTGTTGGTATGTAGAGGTGAAAAGATAAATGTCTTGGGGATCCCTGGGTGGCGCAGCAGTTTGGCGCCTGCCTTTGGCCCAGGGCGCGATCCTGGAGACCTGGGATCGAATCCCACGTCGGGCTCCCGGTGCATGGAGCCTGCTTCTCCCTCTGCCTATGTCTCTGCCTCTCTCTCTCTCTGTGACTATCATAAAAAAAAATTTAAAAAGAAAAAAAAAGATAAATGTCTTTATGGAATATTTGGCCAAAAGCAGTCCAGAAAGATTTGAAAAAAAATATTTTATTTCTTTTTAAAGATTTTATTTATTTATTCATGAGAGACACAGAGAGAGAGAGAGAGGGGCAGAGACACAGGCAGAGGCAGAAGCAGGCTCCATGCAGGGAGCCCAATATGGGACTTGATCCCAGGACTTCAGGATCCTACCCTGGGCCAAAGGCAGGTGCTAAACTGCTGAGCCACCCAGGGATTCCCTCCGCCCCCCCCCAAAAAAAAAGATTTTAATGATGATTAGGGCACAAATCCTTGTCAACACTTATTATTTATTGTGTCTTGCATAGCAACCATCCTAATGGGTGTGAGGTAGTAGCATCCTTTGTAATTTTGATTTTTAGTTCCGTAATGGTTAGTGATGTGGAGCATCCTTTCAAGTGCTTAATGATCATTTGGATGCCATCTTTTTTATAAGATTTTGAGTGTTGCCTTGTAAGTTTAAATTTTACATTTTTAAAAAAATATTCCTTTAATTATTTTAGAGAGAGAGAGACCGCAAGTGGGAGGGGCAGAGAGAGAGCGAGAGAGTCTAAAGCAGATTCCACACTGAATGTGGAGCCTGATGCAGGGCTTGATTTACTGCTCTAGCAACAGTGGAAAGTTCAGGTGAGGGCAAAAGAGCATCTAAATTAGGAGAAATACTTACTACTTTCCACATATCTTCTAAATAGTACATTTGAGGTGTAGCCCATCAGTGCCTGCTTATTTGCATATTCACAATGATATTCACATCATCTGAACACACCTTTTGTAGCGTAAAACAATAACTTGAGAAGTCCATTAAAAAGCCACATTACTAGAAAGTCATATCAGATGAAAAGCTAATTAGCTGTACTGTTTTCATATTTTGTGTGCATTTTTCCCCCTAATCAGGACTTTATTTAATAGCTCCAGTGCTTAATTTTTTCATTAATTGTTTCAGATTAATTCTTCTTCTTCTGTTGTTGTTGTTAAAAGCAGTTATTAAGGGAACCCGATGTGGCATGGACCACTGCTGATTCTCAATTCCTGTCACTTAGGCAAGCTTGTCAGGAAGCAAAGTAGCGACCAGTATTTTTTCATCTTCTCTGAGGAGCTGTCCATAGCCAATCCTGGGAAGATACAAAGTATGTGTCAGGATTATTTTATAATGAATTTGAGATGTTACCTGAAACATTGATAAGGCAGTTATACTTCAGGTGCCAGCCAGATGTTCCCCAAAGCACCACCTCATAAAGTCTTGATAGACCCTGGGAATCATGATCGTATCACCTAATTATGATGTCGTAAAAGATATGTCATTAAATGACCTTAGAGGAGGGACCAGGAGACTTCATCTGGAAATTCACAAAATTTATAGAGCAATCGATTTCATACCAAAAATTTGAGGAATAGATGAATTATGGAGATATTATTCAAATTTAAGAAGTACTTACTGTATGTATAATTTAAGTAACAATATATCCTCTAGTTATTTAAAATATGAATCAAGTCATAAAGCTTTGTTTAGTTTTTTATGTTTCAAATTTTTATTTAAATTCCAATCAGGTAACCCACAGTGTAATATTAGTTTCAGGTATACAATATAATGATTCAACACTTCCATACGACACCTGGGGCTCATCACAGCAAGTGTGCTCCTTAATCCCCATCACCTATGTTACATACCACCTGACCCACCTCCCCTCTGGTAACCAGCAGTTTTTTTCTTCATCCCCAGGAATTGATTTCTCTGATCTATACTCATTTTAGTCAGAATTGCAATTGTGCAGTCCATAAACTTCTAAACACCAAAATTTTTCCCATGATCTTCTAGTTAGTTCATTGAGTGGCAAAATCTGATCCATTCTACTATAGAATTTATCCCACTAATCATGAATATGTATATTTTATTGCAAACATATTAAATAACTTTGAATAGATCCTCTGACTTAGATCCTCTTTGTAGTATGCATTGTATTATCTTTCTGGGATCTGAAACATTTTGAATTCCAAATATATTTGGCTACAAAGATTTTGGATAGGAAATGATGGATACACACTGACATTTATGTTCTTTGGACAATCCTTGAAACCCACTTTTATGTTGATAGTTTGTGGAATGGAGTGTCTAGAAAGAGGTCTTCTCCAGGTGTAGATCTACAGGATACTTGTCAGTGTGACTATTAAGTTTCATAAAGGACTGAAGTTTTTGCAGTTATTACATACAATTTGAATATATTCAGTATCAAGTACTTGAACATTCCATTTTTTTGTGAAGGTTGAATGATAAAACAAAGCACTCAATACATTATTCTCTATTAATTATAGTTTATGTCTATTCTAATTGTAGTTGTTCAACTCATAGTGATTAACAGTGTCCCTAAAAGGATCTGTGATGATGAAGAATATGTTGTCAATCAGTACCTGTTTCTCTTTTTCACTGGCAGGATGTTATTACCTGTTTCAACTATTCTGTTTTAATTTCTACTATGCTCATTTTAATTTATGTTGTGCCTTCTAATTAGGACACCCACATATTAAGATTAAAGTTATGATTTGATAATCCCCCATTAATGCTGTTGATCTTCCAATGTCACTTTACATGCTAATTGTAACAGTTTTGACATCCAAACACAAATGCCCTTTTGACTTAACTATACATTTGGCTTTAAGTATTTTTAAATGTCTTATTAAAGTTGGAGCAAATGATGGCTTTGCTCTGGGCTATACCATGGCTTCTTATTCTCTGTACAATTATGTTAATTATATTTTGTTAAAATTCCCAGAGGCCTCAGCTCTAAACTAAGGACCAATATATAGTTGGTATTAATTGTAATTAATATTGACTACCTGTGTGTGTGTGTGTCTTTCTTTTTCTTTAACAGTTACATTTCAAAGAGGAGATGGAGGACTAATGAGCAATGGGAGGTATGCTAAGGAGATTCTTTTTTATTATTATTTTTAATCAGGACTGGGGAAACTATAGTAAGAAGCTATTATTGTAATAAATGATCACTTATAAGTCTGAGAATTCTAGGAGGAATTAAATGGCTTACCACAAGGTTTAATGATCTATCTGTTGTGCACTTTAGAGGAATCAAGTCCAGATGTTTCATATCTCCCAGATGCCCCTGAAGAAATTAGTAGTAAATATCACAAGGAATGTGTTCATTTGTTAGCAGGATGTTTATTGCATTAATTAGACATTAGCAAATGAAGTTGCTGTTGTTTAAGACTCCTTATTGGCTCTCACTAAATTGCTGTGAGTGAACAATTACACATAATCGATCACAAAGTAAATGATTCATGGATGATGAATAGGCTGTAGATTGATAGGACTGGATTCCACAACTTTGGATACTCAATTGAAATTGATAAAAGCTGATAACAAACCCATATATCCTCATCTATTTTTCCCTTTGCCAATATGGAGATTGTAATTAGGCTCTGGTAATAACTTCCAATCTCCCATTTAATCAATATTTTAGCAAAAAGATTAGGTCTAATGAGAGCTAGTGCATGTAGCAAGTAAGCAGTTGGATCTTCTTATTGCAGTTTCCATAGAAACACATGTTTCTCTTAGGGATTGCACAGAAACGGTCTATCAAAAATAAAGTACAATGATTATAGATGTTGCTATTTCCTTTTAAATATGCTAATAATCTGGAGAGGATACAGATTTTCATCTTTTATATCAAAAATGGAAATTCTTTATTAAATATGATGTGAGGGAAGTTTTTCTCACAGACTATACTCACAAGCTAAATCAGATAACAGTGAATCTTTAATTACCCTAAAAAATTTTAATATACCCCTAATATCTTGCAATTCAGAGAATTTGGAAATGTGCTACTGATGGAACAATATAAATACTGTTCATTAATTTCCCTCAAGTTTGTTGCCTCTAAATTAAGCATGAGGGCTCATAACAGGGGTTACAGCTTACAGGGGACAGATAAATGTGGGGGCTGTAGGAATCAAGGAAGCAATAGCCCAAAGTCCTGGAAATGGTTGATACTGAGCAGTCACTCTGAGCAATTGTTTCTTGAGGTGCCAGTTTATCATCAAACTTTGTTTTGGGATCCTACTATGTTACAAATTCCACCAGTTTAACGGCAGACAACTGAATTCATTTGGATGCTTCTGCTTCCACTGACAGGCTATATATATAGTTTTAATGAACCGTTGAAGTTTCTTAATTCTTGAGAACCTACACATTTTAATTTGAAGTGAATTAAAATCTTCTTAAATTCCTTAATATATTTTAGTGCAGGAGACAGGTGTCCAAATTTCTCATGGAGCTCCATGGGTTGATTTCCTTCCAATTTCTGTTTTAGCCGTCCTGGTCTTCTAAATGCTGGTGATCCCAGTTACCCATGGCTTGCTGATTCATGGCCAGCCACGAGCTTACCAGTAAACAATAGCAATAGTGGCCCAAATGAGATTGGAAATTTTGGACGTGGAGGTAAGTTGTGCTATTCAAAACTTTGTTGTTCGTGAATATTCATAATACATTTTGGTTTGGGGACTATTAGCACAAGATTAGTAGAATCAGAAACTATGCTGCTAAGTAGAGCTTATGATTTGGGACTAGTCATTTCTGTTTTCTATGTGTCATTCAACACATATTTATTAAGTATACCCTGCATACCTGGCACTACGGCAGATAGTAAAAATAAAATATCAATATAAAGAGAGATGGTACTTATCCTCATAGGATGTATGTTATAGAGAGTAGACACTTAAATAAAGATGAAAACATGTTGAGAGAGAACTTAAGGGTAGTTCTACCATTGATAACTTTGTACCCCAAATGAAAGACAAAAAGGTGCTAAGTGGCTAATATACTAAGGTCTCCAAAATCTGGAGCTAGGGTCCTGTCTGTAGAAACAGAATTTGACCTTCTATAAGTAATTAATGCATTTATTATACTATATTATATTTGACCTATTATAAATAATTACAATCTCCTCACTGCCACCTTTCATCCAATCAATAGGAGAAAGATGGGGCTAGAGAAGTCTGTTGTCCCAGTTTTTAGTTTGGCAGAAATATGAGTTTTCCATTGGCAGACAGTTGTGCAGACAGTAAATGGACTGGAGCTGCCTTGCCAGTACCCAACATGAAAAGGCTACCCACAAAGAATACGAAAGTTCTATGAATGGAGTGTTACTTAGGTTGATATCTGAAGAAGAGGTAAGATTAAGCAGAGTTGTGGGGAAAAGTGTGTGGAGAAGAAATGACCGTATTTTAAGATCTAGAAAGAAGAGAGACATGACCTATTTGAGAAATGAATGAATTTTCTAATGAGTATGATGTACAACGGGAGCAGAGGTGGTAAAAAAAAATATATATATATACATATATACATATATATATACATGTATATATGTGTGTGTGTGTGTGTGTATAGTATATATATATATATATATATATATATATATACAGAGAGAGAGAGAGAGAGAGAGACAGATAATAGAGGGCCTTCTAAGCTACACAAAGACTTTAAACTTTATCCGAAGGGTAGTCAGAAGACATCAATGGGTTTGTAATAGGAGAACACTGGGATCTAAGCCGAGTGTGAAATCATCCAAGCTACTGCTGGGTGGAGAATGGAGTTTGAGTAGAAAATGGGATGATTAATTAGGAGAGTAGTGCTGTAATGCAAGAAAGAGTGGATGAATCTGCTGGAGACTTTCTACACCTCTGGATGGAATTAATGGAGGAGACCCAGGGCTAGGCTAAACTATGATAAGCACCTCAGGGATGGATTTCACAGGCATGGGTGTATAAATATACTGACTTAGAAGAGTAATCATGGATACTGACATTTTATCTTTATGAATGGAATACCAATGAATGTTTGAATGTAATTAAAATAGTATTTCAAATAATAAAGCTACTAATTATTGCATAAGTCTGCATTCTGTCAATACCAACTTGAAGAAGGGGAGCTCTCTTCCATTCTCCAAATAAAATACAGAAAATAACCATCCCCTTGTCATAGTTATGTAGTGAGGATTAAATGGATAATTTAGCACAGGTTTAGCACAAAGCTTGACATACAAGAGAGGCCAATAGGCATCAGTATAGTAAGTAAGAAAATAAAAAATACCTGTATGATTCCTCAACTTTTTGCTTGCCCTCTGTAATCACCCCATTTAGGATTCTTATTACCCCAGAACCTCTGAAGGTGGCTGCCTCCCCTAGTGACCAAACTCTGAGCCCTTAGTTTACTGGCTATCACTTTCCCATGGTAGGTTCTATCCCTGAGCATCTTCTCACCAGGAGAGCAGAACATTCCTCCCTCCCTCACACAGAATGATTTTGTCAAAAGAAATTCTGTTTGAAGGATTTGACCCATCAAGGATTAGATATCTATTTTACTTGCTATATTTGTATTTGATTAATGCACCATTCTCTTCACATCAAGAAATGAATGCCTAAAGATAAAGAAAATGTTTGGTTTTGGTTTTGGCTTTTCAGCTTTTAGCAGGCTACACTAACATCTGAAAAGTCTGTCTAATTTAGCCAAAGGGTACATTTGTAAATTTTCAAGGTTTTTCTTCCATATCCACTTCATTTTCATGACATGAAATATTTTGCAGGCAAACATCAAGGCCAAAACAAAGTTTTTGCAAGGTTTACTGTATTTCTTTGCAGTGTAATAGGCACTGTTAGCTTTTACTATGCACCAGAAATAGGTAGGGTTTTTTTTGTACATTTTATTGGCATAATAAATGTGTGACATAAGTAATAGATAATCATGTTTACTTTTTAAAGGCCAGGAAACTAAGGTTTATCAAGATGAATAACTTGAGATCTAAGTATAGAAGTCAGGCCTAACACATTTTAAAGCCTCGGTTATTTTATCTACACTGTTCTGCAATCCTCAAGGCTGGATTCACGTGTACGATTATGTAACTATGTTCCCTTAAGAGAATTATTGTGGATACTGACATTTCCCTTTCAAGAATGGAATACTAATACATGTTTAAATGTAATGAAAATAGTATTTTTAGTAATAAAGTTACTAATTATTGCAGAAGTCTGCATTTCATCAATACAAAATATGAAAGATTTATTTAATAATTCAGCGAGCACTTATCCTCTGCAAAACACCAGGTGAGGAATTGTGGAATGGATCCAAGCATAAATCCCATATGTTCCTGTTCTTAAGTATCTTATGATACAGTACAGGAGACAGTCATTCGTTCAAGTATATCAGTCCAAAAGAAATAAATGCATGGATCATTCAGGTGCTGAAAACTGCAAAATGAATCATGAGTAATTCCACCTGGAGGGAAGGGTTTCTGTAATCCAGAGGCTTCAAAATCAAATGTTAACAAGTGCCAGTCAGCCCAAAGCACTAAGGAAAGGTAGGTGTGGACCATAAAAGTGGAAACTGGAAGGTCCTGCCTAAAGATGGCAACACCTATTTAGGTCCAGGCTGTCAGAGAAAGGCCAGCCCAGAGTTCCAAACTATCTGATATTATAGGATGATCTCCCACATCCAAATATTCATGCATAATCTCCCAATATTTCAGTGGTTGGATATAATTCAATTTATTTTTTGAAAATGTAGGAGCAATCAAATAATAGCTGAAGGAAATATGCAGCCCCCAAATCAATATAGATGCACTCAGACTTGAAGGCTGGCTAATTGCAACCAGCAGAGAGAACGTGATTCTATTTCTAGAACTGTTGCTTTACTTGTTGCAGGATTACATCTAGAGGAGTAGGTCCTCAGACAACTTTTTTTTTCCATTTTTAAACACTTGAATGTGCAATCACTTCAGAATCTTGCAGTTAAGTAGTTCCCCATCCAAATAAAAAGTTTTAGAGGACTTCAGGTTCAAGCTGTTGGGAAGTTGGGGCTCATGCTGGAGAAACATGTCTATCCAGTTAATATTATCAATGAAAGATGGTGGAGGTGACAGAAACAAAACTGAAATTTCCCCTGAGTGGAGGATCGGTTTTCATAATTTTGATCTATTACTAAGTACTAAAAGTTTTTGAGAATGAAAATGATAATTGACATTTGAGAATAAAGTATGCTTTTCCATTATCCAATTTTCTAATTAGTTTATAGGTAAAGGCATAAAGGGCAAAAAGTGTAATTCTGGGATTCTGAAATCAAAAAACAATCTTACTTACTATACAACTTTGTGAAATATATTTGACTATTAACAATTTCACTGATATGCCTTTAAAATATTTACTTCAATAAAGTATGTATCCACATATAAAGTAAATTGGAATTCCAGACTTCAGGAGGATCTAAATTATACAGGATGCAAAATGGATTGTAAGTGTCTTGTCGCTATTGCTAAAAAAGACATTTTTATCTCTTGTAAAATGCAAAAGCAAAATTAATATTTTTAATTAATTTGTTTTTGGTTTTGTTTTGTGGGTATCATCAAACCTAAAAGATTGGGGATATTTTGACTAAGTTTCTGCTTCCACGTTTTTCTTGTGATAAATTGTTTAGGTAACACAATAATTTAATTAATTATTTAATATTTACAGTAATATAACTAGTTGGAAATTTCCTATAATGAAGAAATCACTGATGATCTCAAGTCCTATGAAGTGTGGCTCTCAGAACATAGATTATTATGGAACATATACTATAATTAGATTCACTTTTATCTACGTGATTAAAAATATGTCATTTAGTGTTGTTGTTTTTTAAAGATTTTACTGATTTATTTCAAAGAGAGAGTGAATTGTGAGTGGGGTTGGGAAGCAGGGAGAGAGGGAAAGAGAATCTCAGGCAGACTCCCTGCTTGAGAGCCTGACATGGGGCTCAACACGGGGCTTGAACTCACTACCCTGAGAGCATGACCTGAGCTGAAATCAAGAGTCAGATGCTTAACCAACTGGCCCCCCAGTATTGTTGGTTTTTTTTTTTTTTGTTTAAATTCTAGTATCTTTTCTAAAAAAGGAAAAATAAGAGCACGGGAGAGAGGTGGCAGTTCTGAATTAAAAAGCATCATGTAAAGTTAATTCAGCACACCAAAAGATAAATGGGCTGATTGATATTCAGTGTTGTTACTAAAGTTTAATTTTACTCTTGCTGTATTATAACTTGAAACTGTAATTCTCCACTTCTGAGAGTTAGTAGCATAAATTAAACTCACTGATCACTCAGATTGCTTTTTCTATAGTTAAATCCTGCTGTATTGTGCAAATGACTTATTCATGAAAGTTTCCTTTTGTTATCTAAGAAAAAAAAAAATCCCTACCATCCGTTCCACTCCATACTGGAACTGTGAAATCAAATCAGAAATACAGTGAGCTGGAACTTCAGAAAAATGTATCTCCTAGCCTGCTTATATAGTATAATTTCGGGAAAATGTTGCATCTGTTCAGCAGTTAGATTCCATATCTTTTGGGGCAAAGTGGAAAAAGATGTTTTCAATCCATAATTTGTAGATTCACTCTTAACCGTTTCTTGCGTAAGGAGCCAACAGTTTTCGTTGGTTCTAAAAGCTGTGCGAACGACTGAAAGCATTTTTCAGTAGTGAAATATCCCAAACATCTCATTCATGGATGAAGAAGATGGGGGAAGGGATGTGCTAAGCAGTGAGACGTGAAGGACGAGCCGTAGGCCTGCCTGTCACCGAAGCTGAGAGCTTGGCGATGGTTGTACATCATCTACCCTTCATTGACTCATAAAGCCCATCTCAGCTGAAATGCAAACGTGCGGCATGACACGTTTATTTTTCATCTTCCATCCTGATAGTTTTGGGCTGCCTGTGCATCATTAAATTGTTTCATTTCCCTATGTTCACCACAGATGTGCTGCCACCAGTTCCAGGCCAAGGGGATAAAACAGCAACGATGCTCTCAGATGGAGCCATTTATAGCAGCATTGACTTCACGACCAAAACCACTTACAACAGTTCCAGCCAAATAACACAGGCTACCCCATATGCCACAACACAGATCTTGCATTCCAATAGCATACACGAACTGGCTGTCGATCTGCCGGACCCACAGTGGAAAAGCTCAATTCAGCAAAAAACGGACCTGATGGGCTTTGGATATTCTCTCCCTGATCAGAACAAGGGTAACAATGGTGAGTCAGGTCCCTACTCCCCAAGGAGTTATTTTCATACCATTTGTGCATGAGATAGAAATTAGTATTTGTTGTTCAGTTCAGTGATTCATGACCAGGTTCACTCCCTAAACTAAAAAAAACGATTCTCGGCATGTGTTCAGTACCTTGCACAATCCCTACCACCGCCACCGCCGCCACACACCAACACCAATCGGTTTCATCCTCTTAGCTCTTCTTCAGTAGAGTGATCAGTAATCCATCTCAGCTTTCATGAGGCAGGAGAGACGGAACATCCCTCCACCGTCCCACGACATCTGCTTCTGAGTCGCTAACTGCATGTTCTGCATGGGCTTGTGCTGTGAACTAATCACATGATGCCACTATGACCTCTGCCCTTTAACCCTTAGCCTTACTTTACATCCCTGACTACCGATTGGCTGAGGGATTGTCTAATAGAATGCCACACAACCAGTCACAGGATTTCAGCACCACCAGCTCTCACAACAGCTCAGAGAGGAGTGGCAGTCTCTCAGGTTGGTCTCATCACAGTAAGGAGAAATATTTGTTTGTCACCAGCATATGACCTGTGTTCCTAACAGCCGTGAAGAAGCACTGAAGCACAACTCGCTGTCAGGCATTTGTCTTTCAATTAGTTTGCCCTAATGGAATCGTCATGCTTTGGTCATGCTTTGGGAAGGGGGGAGTAAGAATCACTCTCGCTCCCTGCGTACGAAGTGTACACCCCCATGTGGTCTGAAAAGTAGTGTCATTGTCCTAAGTATTATGAGTTTGATCGTCCTTGAACCCTACCCAAGAGCCAAGAGACCTCTACGATAAAAGATCATTCAGGAAAGGCAGCTCCAGGGCATGGGCAGCAAACGGTGAATTCAGGCAAGAATGCAAATTATTTGGCACGTTTCGCATAGTATTAGGATTCCAGTGATGTGACTTTTCATTTCGGGGCAATCTTTCCACGATGTTATGTGATACGATTTATTATCGACGGAATGATATTTGGAGTCAGGTGCTGCTGCCGTGCTAACCAAGAATCTTATTAGACATTATTCTTCACACTTAACAAGTTATAACCTTTCATAAGGATGATTTTTTCTTATGCTGTGAATGTTAACATAGTTGATATATATCAGCCAAACCTACAATCTATAATGTGGGTGTTGTATAGCACACATCGGGACAGAGTTTTACTGGACAGAAATATGTGCCTATGATAACGAATAGCGGCAGTATGCTTCAGGCTCAAGGATCCTCACCTCTCAGATAAGGAGGTCGTAGTAGTCACACTCTGCCTTCCAACCAGAACATGTACATCGTGTGACTGATGACTTTGCACATTTCTAATTGATTCCATGACCTTACTTGCTTATTTTTCCATAATAATGATATTCCATTTGTTTTTACAAATTTTTTTTTTATCTACAAATTCTCAGTAAAGGATTATGGTGTATTATGACATGTCACAGGCTCCTAGACCATAAGGAGTTAACTCTTTTACATCATTAGGGTAACATTTACTAAATGACTTTTCCTCAGGAGATAGAACCCTTTCAGTCTGAAATGTTAATGCTCTCTCTTCTCTCCAAAATGAGCCATTTGCTCTTCTTACCTATTGGTAGAATTAGATACATTATAGAATCCAGAAAATTTTAAACATCTGTTATGAATTTAAATGGGCTTAATAATATAGGGGGGCATTTTGAATAACCTTATGTCATTTATACTCCAATTTATTTATAATGAGTCCCACAACTGTACTCCATAATTAAAAACTAATGTATCCTAGGCCTATTTCATTCAAGATATGTAAAGTCCCAAGCGATATACATATTTTAAAAATCTATATATTTTAAGCCATGAATTACATAAGGCCTTTTGTGAATCCTTCATTAAATATTCTGTATATGTTGATTGACACTGAGTTTTAAAAGTTACCTTTTGAGTAATTGTAAGCGGAACATGATTCACAATAGTGCTTACTGCTTTTTTAATCCATTAATCTCCTGAGTGACATTTATATATATATGTCTGTGAATTACATTAACTACTTCATCTACATTTGAATACAAAATTACTTAAATCAGAAATAGAAAGCATTCTTCAGAGATGAGAGTGAAATGATTATTCCCTGTTAGTTTAGTCCAATTGAGTTTAATATTACAGAATTTGCTTAATTCTTATAATCATAGATGCGTTTTCTAAAGCTCAAATTTAAGATCAAACTGCCCAAAGGATATCTAATCATACATTATAAGATTTTCTCAAGTTTGTGCACAGTAATGAAATCAATTTAAAATAATCACACTAACAAAGAAAGTTGGGCGTTTCTGAATAATTTCAGTGAATTTCTCATCCTCCTTGAAACACTTTTATAATCTATTCCATATATAAGTTATGAGTATTTGTGTTAAAAATTCAACCACCAAAAAAGAAAACTCAGATCTCTTAGAAACTATATCCAGTCATATTGTGTGTATATATATATATATATATATATAGCACTATATCAGTAGTGATAATGAAATATTTTTACACACTAGTATTTTTTGAAATACAGTATGTATTTAACTAAATTGAAAATTATCTATTTTTATCATTCTCTAGACATAGAAGTTATTTGTTCAGCATAAATGTCAATTTAAATATTTACATTTTGCATTGAAGAGAAATGGCTCAAATATGTTTGCCAGTCTTCAAAATATGTTCCCCTAAAACAATGCAGGCAGTTTTCCCCTCAAAAATGCTTGGGGATCTTTGGTTGCAAGTAACAATAACAGATTGTGGCTCACTTAGCTCAAGGTATAGATCTTAGATAAACATTTAGTTTCCTTAGCTTGTGTTATATGCCCACCACCATGCTAAGAGTCCCCCTCTTAGCTCAATGCTAAGAGAGGGCAAAGCATATGGATTGATGGTCCTACCAGGACACCACTCAATGACAGAGCAGAAATCTCCCAAAGAGGGAGAAGTAGGCATTGGAGTTAAGCCCTCAAAAATTCCTTCCATGGGGATCCCTGGGTGGCGCAGCGGTTTAGTGCCTGCCTTTGGCCCAGGGTGCGATCCTGGAGACCCGGGATCGAATCCCACGTCGGGCTCCCGGTGCATGGAGCCTGCTTCTCCCTCTGCCTGTGTCTCTGCCTCTCTGTCTCTGTGTGTGACTATCATAAATAAATATTTTAAAAAAAATTCCTTCTATGAATCAGCTCCATTTGCCCAATTCATTTTTAAGTCTGACATTTGGCCCTTTTTGGCCTTGGACAAGAACTTCAACAAAATTGGGTTCAGAGCTCCAGAAATAGTAGTTTCTAGTAAAGCTGTTGCATTTTAAATGTGTTTTTTTTTCTTCCTGTGTAAATATGGACCACATAACATTCAGAAAGAACCTCTATTTCCCCATCTATTAACTATTTCATCTACATTTGAATACACTATTACTTAAATTGGTGATAGAAAGCATTCTTTTGGAGGTGAGAGTGAAGCAATTATTCGCTTTTAGTCTGAGTTTAACGTAACAATTTGTTTTATGGAGATATATGAACTTTCTTCTTTGTATCACTCAGTTCTGGTGGTGATCATATGACATTTCTAAAGTGAAGAGTGAGGAAAACATTGTACACTTATAAATATATAAATAATAAAGGATGCACAACCAGGGGAAGAACTCACTAAGGACGCACAGCCTAACCCATTCCTCTTTTAATTATTCAAATAGACTTCTGAAACTGCACAAAAAAATATGATCCTAGTCTGTGATTTTGATGAGTGATCATGAAACAAAGGATTAAGTCTTATCTACCATAAACGTAAAAAAATAAGGCTTCTATTCAAGCAGGTTTATTATTTTTATTCCAAGAATCAGACTATTCCTGGGACGCTCATTGGGTTTGGAGAAGTTAGGCTTGACAAAGGCTGTAGAAGTGGGCAGAACCATGTTTGCTCTAAGATAGAGGAGTTGGGAAACAGTAACAATGACTGGCATTTTTTGAGCTCTCTGTACAATCTGAGCCCTCTCCATGCTTTCTCTCTTTTAATCCTCAAAATACCATAAAGATTTAAGCACTTTGTGTCTGGTTTACATGTGTGGAAATTGAAGTAAGTTATCAAGTAAGCGAGAAACCAGTCTTCAACCCCAGAGTAATCTCTAACCCTTGAGGTAGAAGCTCTATCGTTCTTTTAATACCTCTCCTATTGCCAAAGACAGGAAGTGAAAGGGTGAAAACATTCTGTCTGTAGGTGTGCTCTTTTAAGCACGTGTGTTTATGTACACATAACCTAGACTACAGACATGATTCCATAATTGGCAACAGTATCTATGTCCAGTTTAGCAGTTCCATCACTTTCTGGCCCTGGAATAAGTTATTACTAAATGACACAATTTTCTGAATTGGCTCATGTGGATTAGTAATTGGCAGAAGAAAGGAGATGAGACTTCTAGCAATATCTCTATTGGTAGCCCTGCTCCAAGTATTTGATGCTCACAGCTTGCAGTTTCAGAAAGATGAGATCCAAGAGATCAATACCAGGATTTTGAAAATATAACAATAGGCCATAGTGGGAGTGAAGGAAGCTGCTTGGTTTCCATCAGGACAATATCCTTTATTATGCTGTTGGAGAAGCATTCATTCTTGCCATCAACTGTGGTCCATTTAGGAAGAAACTTGATTTACTTAAATTTTGAAAGAGTGAAAAGTATGGCAGTATACAAATGATGAGTTTTATTTTTATATTTCACTAAGCTCCAGTAATTCCAGATTTGGCTCAAATGCTGCCAAGTTATTTTTTGCTTGTGTTTTGTGCATGAATTCATTTGTATTAACAATAGTACTGAAAGTGATCACTGCATTTCCATTAATTATCCCCCTCTTTTTGGAATTTTAGGAAATGTGATGCTTAAAACATCTGGGAACCACTTTCACTATAGGCAAAAATAATTATGCCATTCATTAGTTTAAAATTCTATAAAACTTGTCATTGTGAAAGATTTACAAGTATCCGGATTATAGTTGATTGATTTTTATCAGTCACTTTTGAGGGAGAACTGTACTCTCCTGGATTAATTAAATTGAGTAAATTCTAATGGAAAAGTTTAGGCTGTATCCTTAGATGCTGCATTTTCCACTGAGAGGGATTATGCAAAAGAGCATTATAAACGTACTAAAATCTGACATTTGAAAGAATTTGTTATGGCCCATTATTTCTTCTAACAATGCAAATGTAGAGGCAGCAGACGTGAATAAATCAATAAGTGTGCTTTTGCTTCAGAAGCCATGTTTTTGGTTTATTCAGCACTGTAGTTAATGCTTTGGGGGAAGAAACAATATAATTCCGAGCGATTTATAAAAACGTTTTTCTGATTATATCATCTCATTGTTTATAGCTTTTAACAAATGTAATATACTGATTGTGGTGTTTTGAAAACATAAATATGTCTTCCCATCTGATGTACTCTGTTTCTACTGATATCTGGCACAGCTGAAGAAATGCATTATTACTTTCAGGTGGGAAAGGTGGAAAAAAGAAGAAAACTAAAAACTCCTCTAAACCACAGAAAAACAATGGATCGACTTGGGCCAATGTACCCCTACCTCCTCCCCCAGTCCAGCCCCTTCCTGGTACAGAGCTGGAACACTATGCAGTGGAACCGCAAGAAAATGGGTAAAACTGTTTTTCATTCCAACAAAATGCCCAGGGCTCTCCTCTTCTCTCAATCGTGCTTTTCTGTCTTTATCTTGTGTTCTCTTACTCTTTTCCCTGCCCCCTTTCCAGCCGGTTCATCGCCCTCTCCCACTCCCGTCTCAGGCCCCACTTTGGTTGTTTGCACCATCTATGTATTTTAGATGATAAATACACCACAGCACATATTGAGAACCTAGAATCCTTGGCCGTCAAGTGCCTTAGATTGTCTGCAATCATGGTAATGCAGACTCCATTTATAATATTGCTTGTTAGTTTGAAAGCGAGTACCCACAGCTCTGTGAACTAAAGAGCCACTCCTGAGTGAGCCTGAAAAGGGAATTAAAATAATCTTCTCCATCGTCTCTCACAGTTTTCTAATGACTTGGTGTCTGGCCATAGCAGAGCTCCATCACATGGTGTAATTGCAGGGACTTTAATCATCAGCTTTGATGGGAATTTAGGGGCCAGAACAAGGAAAGAGTTGTTCAAGCCAACACACATTCTGTGACAAAAACCTCTCTAAGTTAGAAAATTTCCTTCAAGGGCATTTAAATGTGACCGGTTTCCTTATTCATTCTCAAATAGGTCTCAAGAGTTAGTGTTCCTCTGTTAAAGTGTTAATTGATTTTAAAGCAGAAAGACATTGATACTTTTTATTCTCTAATAAAAAAATAGCAAATGAGACATTTACTCAGTCTTTTTTAATAATTCTAATTGCTCTGTCTTTCTCACAATTTCCAGGTCACCACTGCTTTTGAATGAAACTGAAAAATACATAATAAAGGCAGCTTTACTTTTTTCCAAATTTCTTAAAATTCAGAAGTACTTAGATATTAAGACACCTCAATTTATTTCAATAATGGTTTTGTCTCCTGTCCTATTTTATGTAAAGATCACATGCATGAAATATTTTGGCCCAATCTCCTTTTTTTTTTTTAAATATGTGCCATCTTTGATATCTCAAGATTAATTCTTTTTTTCTTTCTTCTACTTTTTTTTTTTTTTTGAGAGAGAGAAAGTAAGAGAGAGGAGGGTCAGGGGGAGAGGGAGAGAAATCTTAAGCAGGCTCCATGCACAGCAGGGAGCCTAAAATGGGGCTCGATCTCAAAACGAAGTTGAGATTTCATTTATTTGTTCATGAGAGACACAGAAAGAAAGGCAGAGACACAGGTAGAGGGAGAAGCCCGATGTGGGACTAAATTCCAGGACTCCAGGATCACGCCCTGAACTGAAAGCAGATGCTTAACCACTGAGCCACCCAAGCACCCCTCATTTTACTTTTTTAAAAAGTTCACATTTGAAATAGGAAATTAAGAAGACATCCTTTTTTCTCTGACTTTTTTAAAAACTTAAATTTTGCACATGATCTTATATAATACATATCAATAATGTAAACGTGCCCATATCACATGAAGTCTGTCAAAGAAAAACCAGAGATGTGTATTACACAAGGAAAGATTATTACAGGGCTTAGGAATCTGCATTTTAAAGGCTATTGTCAGAAAATGAGAAAATAAAGCTTATAAACTGGGAAGAGAAAATAGTTACTATCAAATATGTTTAAGCATAAAGTAGGTAATTTGGAATCTTTCTCTTTTTCTTTTCCCACTGCATCTACTTAAGAAACAGACTACAATAGCTATTACCCACTGAAATAATACTAATTCATTCCAAACAAATTCTAAACTCCTCACTTGATTTTATTGTCCAGCAGCAGAATTGAAAATATCTTTTGATGAATGAAATAATACACATTGCTGCAGTTTTATTTTTTGATATAAATTATTTTCTAAATATTAACCTATAAAATATAAAGTTATTTTTGAATTATTTTAATATTTAGCCAGGATGTATGATATTAGAAAATCTTTCTTTCTAAAAGTTTTCTAAAAATTCATTTGAGACTTTAAATAGGTAAAGAAATACATATTTTAATATTATATATTCAAAGTCTTTGTAGCATGTAGTTTGGTTTTTAATAACCTTTATTTGCCTTAAGTAGCTCATATTTCCTAAAGCAAAAATGATCACTTTTAACAAAACTAGTAGGTAAGTCTTATCTGTTAGTAAACTGACAGCAAAATTCAGTTTTCTTGTTTTGGATTCAGTTTTTCAATGGATATTGTTTCAGCTGTTTGTAATGACAATACCTATTTAAAATCAATATGACAAGAATAAATTAAAATTATTCAATTTGTGATGACTTTGTCCATTTCTTGATAAATTCTTTATATTTTCCTTTTTTCTAACGTCAAACCCTTATAACATTGAAAAGGAGAGGCGTCTAGGTGGCTCCGTCACTTAAGTGTCTGGCTTTTGATTTCGGCTCAGAGCATGACCTCGGAGTCCTGAGATCAAGCACCATGCCCAACCCCAAGGAGTGTGTTGGAGATTTTCTCTCTTCCCCTAACTCTGTTCCTACCTACCCCATGCATGCACTTTTACTCTCTCTCTCAAATAAATAATAAATACATCTTTAAAAAAAGGAAAGACTTTTGAACACTTCCTAGATTATTTTATAATCTGCTCTTCATGATACTTACATTGACTATTTTACATATGAGTTCTTATATAGAATTGTTTCTATGCCTTGTTTTGAAACTCATGCAGGTTTAAGGTTCTCTTGAAGTGCAAACAACAAAAACTTTAGAAGTCACGGTTTGGTTTTTCATAATTTTTATTTTAACAGTCAAGGGTCATGCATCTTATGGTGATACATAGTTTTTCTTTCTGCTGCTTTTAACATATATTAGGGAACTTACTCAACACACATCTTTTTCAAGTAAATAGCAAGTGCTAATCCCAGTGTCAGGAAGAAAAGCAACAGGGATGAAAGAAACAAATACACAATTATTCAGGAAGATCTAATCTCTGATCTAGAGAGTTCACACAGTTGGTAGGTAGAGATCACAAAACACACACATACCATACACACACACATACACAATTTTATCTGATAAGTCCTAGATGAGCAATGTATACAAAATAATAATCTATATTCAGGAAAGGATAACCATGTATGCCAGGTAAGGTTAGGACAATCCTATAGAAGTTCAGTTTTGAGGTGAATCTTGAATCATTTATTCACAAATAATAGCACCAAGTATAACCGGCTGCTGGGTGCCAGCTCTGAGTTTGAAGCAGAAATGTCAAAGGACAAGCAATGGTTCCTAATCTAAAGCAGCCTAGGTGCCAGAATAAATTATTAACCAAGGACTACAACAAAATGTTACTATTGTCACCATTTGCTGTGCAGATAGATAATTTCCGTAGCCAAAAGAAAAAATATATATAAAATGAAAGATAAGAAAAAAATGAATAGCCCCATTAGTTTTCCTTTAGTACTTCCCACTCTTCCTTCAAAACCCCCTCCTATTCTAGTTAAGGTGACTTGCCTTTCCTTAATTTTTTAATTCCTTAAGTTTACTATTGTAGTACTCAGCACATTGCATTCTAATTGCTTGTGTCTATACTTCAGCAATCGGTACCTGTTGTATGACGTTTGCTGGGTTTGAAATATTCATAGGGTAGGAGGTAATCTGAACAGGTGCCTTGAGGCCAACTGTGAAGTCTTGTATGTCATTTAGGGAGTTTGATCTTTGGATATAGATGATGAATTGCAGGACATGAGGCTGGGGCAGGTAGATGACATTCGGGATACTGCAGGAGAATAGCCAGTATCATAAAAAATGATAAGGCTGTAAAATAAAGCAGTGGCAGTAGGGTGGAGGGAAAGGGATAAACTTTGGAAATATACCCCAGAATAATCTCAATCTTGAATATTTTTTATTGCAATGTTTAGTACTGTTTTTAAACCTTCAATATTATTAAATTTCTTTCTAAGTGATTCCTGGGCCATTCCCCCCCCCCCACACACACACACACAGAACTAAATAGCAAAAGTTATCAAGTCACTGTCCAGATAGAAAAGTACTTGTTAATTCAATATTATAGCAACACTGGTAAATGTCCTCTCTCATCAATAAACCTCTCTCAGCCTGATAAAAATGTATCAAAATGTATTCATCCTTAGCTATAAATTTGTTTTTATTATTATCTTATGATGCTAGGAAGAATTCAGTAGAGATTCAATAGAAATCTGATGCTTTGCTTTGTTGCTACAATTAGAGATTGGCAAGCTTTTGTGGGCATTGAACTATATTGTATTTTTATTAGTAATTCAGTATTTGAATCTGACCATTAACTAGGTAGTTCACATGCAACATTGATTTGTTGTCATCTTTCTCATTATTTACCAGGCAACAGAGTCAATATGATGCCTTGTACTTCATCAATAATATGTTAAAAAAAAAAAAAAAAAAGCTTTTCTGGGAACTATTGACCAAAAGACCTTTAGTTGGCTCAGGAGCATTTTTGCAGTCTTCTTTATGTTACTACAAGAAAAAGTAGTACCTGAGTACTACTCAGGTACTCAGGCACCTGAGGGCACCTGAGTGGCTAAGTCAGTTAAGCACCTGACTTATGTCTTCTTTATGTTACTACGAGAAAAAACTAGTACCTCAGCTCAGGCACCTGAGGGCACCTGAGTGACTAAGTCAGTTAAGCATTCAACTCTTGGCTTCAGCTCGGGTCATGATTTCAAGGTCGTGATCTAGGGTCCTAAGATCAAGCTCCGAGTTGGGCTCCTCTACTCAGCATGGAGTCTTCTTAAGATTCTCTCTCCTCTTTTTGCCCCTCTCCACACAAAGAAATAAATAAATCTAAAAAAATAAACCAGAAAAAGTTGAAATTCCATCCCTCACATAAGATATGTGTCTGTAAATGTGAAGGAAATGCTAAAAACTGAGCTACACTTTTCTTAACATTTAGAGTCATCTCTTACTTTCTTGTCCTTCTTCAGAAACTGCATGAAACCTAGTATTTGTTCTTCTGAATGGATTCAGATACGAAAACTTCAGAGATGAGGAACAGCCTTCCTCACCATACAATATGCTCTGTGTCCCAATTTATTTCATCTGTTCTCTCACAACCTTCTCCCAGTCTAACTTTTATTCACTCTCTCTCAGTTTTTCACTTCTTGCATGAACCACTGAGATGAATCCAATAGACTTCTCTCAGCTTTGCTTATGTTCTGCATAGGTGGATTTTGTTCACTCTTGTTCTACATTATCTTTGTAAAACACTCAGAAAAAGTGATGATAAACACCCATTCTAGCTAAGTGGAATAGCTACTGGAATATTTTTTTAGTCATTTAATATATTATGCAATGTGTTTGTATATTTTTTGAAATAATATTTATGCGTCTGGGCTCTCCTTTGCCTGATGATATGGAATAATAAAAAAGAGTTTGTACAACTAATTAGAATATTTTCTATGTAACCTTAACATATGATGCATATAATATTATTTCTTCTTTCTCTTATGTTCTCTACATAGTTCCATTCCTTGTACATGTTCCCTTTAGATTATTGGAAGTAAGGATAGTTTACTAGTTATGAAGTGGGGAAATTATAGAGAATAATTAATTACTTCCCTTTGAAAATTAAATATATGCATAAGTTCTTCCTTTATTCAAATGTAGGAGATCCTTTGCAATAAGCCCTGTAAGCAAAGGAGATACATGCTGTAGTTTATGGGGGAAAATGTGCTATTTTATGGAATAAATTTAATTATAACTATTGATGAAGTATAATAGCACTCACCTTCCATACTGAAAATGGGTAGGGTTTTTTGTTTTTGTTTTTTAGGATTCATTTACATATTTTTGTTTGACTTTATAATACAATATTTAAAGTCAAATAAGTAAGTTAAGAAAAGAAACCTAAGCATTCTTTTTTTTTTTTACTTTTAAATTCCAGTGTAGTTAACATACAGTATTATATTAAGTACAATATAGTAATTCAACACTTCCATACATCACCCAGTGCTCATCACAAGTGCACTCTTTAATCCCCATTACCTATCTCACCTGTCCACCCACCTACCTTCCTTCTGATAACCATGAGTTTGTTCTCTGTAATTAAGAGTGTTTCTTGGTTTCTCTCTCTCTCTCTCTCACTCTCTCTCTTTTTCCTTTGCTCATTTGTTTTGTTTCTTAAATTCCATGTATGAGTGAAAGCATTTGATATTTATCTTTCTCTGACCAACTTACTTCACTTAGCATTATACTGTCTACCTCTGTCCAAGTCATCAAATCATAAGCATCCTTATTAATGAATCAGTTTGTGTGTTTTCATTTCAAATCAATAAATAGGCTTATCATCTACCATTGTTAAAGTATTATGTCAGGTGTGGCCAAACAAGAGTAATTCAATGTCATAATTTTAATGTAGCATGAATTCACTTGAGGAAAAGATACTAGTAACATGTGAAAGGTTAAATTCTAAAATAAATCAGACAATAGCTAAAGAAACCAACATTAGAAATGGCATAACATAGTGTATAATCAATTTGCAAGTAAATGTGCAAGTTCATAAGAGTAATATATTAGTGCTATTTGGGCTCATCTGGGAAATCTTTAAAAAAGACGTGGGATATAGACTGTAGCTTGAAGGATTTGTAAGATTAAGGTAGGTGAAATTGGAGGAGTACAGTTCATTCAAAGTAAATTGAATACTTTAAAATAATAGACCATGATGGAAAAGTACAAAAAAAAAAAGATGATGATGTTGATGAAGAAGAAGAAAACAAACCAATTTATATTGAGTAGAAGATTCTTGTTGAGAAACTGGGGAAAAAAAAACATCTAAAAATGTAATTTGAGTCTTAGACATATTTAGTGGACAGAATAGAATGAATGGAAGTGAATGTTTTATTCAAACAATCATGATGTTTTCATAGATCAGTTTATAAGAGGTATTGATTAGTGGATGGGAAAAACTGGAAGCACTGAATCCAACTGGAACCATAGGTTGCAAACTTTGTACACAACAGAAATAGGTCAATTGGAGAAGGATAATCATCCCATGGTTTCACTCATATGTGGAATATAAGAAATAGTGAAATGGGCTGTAAGGGAAAGGAAGGAAACTGAGTAGGGGAAAATTAGAGAGGAAGACAAACCAGGAGACACTCCTAACTCTGGGAAACAAATGAAGGGTTGGGGAATGGGATGACGGTGGGAGGGGGGCGACGGTGATGGGCACTAAGGAGGGCATTTGGTAGGATGAGCGCTAGGTGTTATATTATATGTTGGCAAATTGAATTTAAATGAAAAAGTAACATCACTTCCAGTCCTCCTCAGGGCTGATGAGGCCCTGTGTGACCTGGCACATCCTGCCATCTATGGCCAATGCTCTTTATTTGCCATTCTTACCAGTTATGAAACTATTTGAGCTCTTCAAATACTATTATCTTTTCTCTTTCTCTGAGCCCCCACATGTGTTACAGAGAATATCCCCCTTTCCTATAGTTAGCATAGACCATAGACTTGCCCTACCCCCAAACTAGTTTAGGCTTGCCTTCTCCCTATTCCCGTAGTACCTGCTATTGTTGGTTATTTGCTTGATACCAGTCTGCCTCACTGGATCAGTCTGCATGCTCTGTAAATAGATGCCATTTCCTGACAAATGGTTCTCGAATCAATGGATGATCAACTCAAGGATTTTTTTTAAATAGATTTTATTTTTTAGATCAGTTTTAGGTTCACTAAAAAACTGAGCAAAAAGTACAGAGATTTCCCATAAACTCCCTGCCCCAACACATGCAGAGCCTCTGCCACTATCTACTTTCCCACTAAAGTGATACACAGTTAAATTGATGAACCTACATTGATACAGCAGTATCACCCAAAGTCCATGCTTTACACTAGGATTCACTCTTGGTGTTGTACATTCTGTGTGCTTGGACAAATGTATAATGACATATATCTACCATTATAATATCATGTAGAGCAGTTTGTCATAAAAATCCCCCGTGCTCTCCCTATTCATCCCTCCCTTCCTTTAACTTCTGGCAACCTCTGATCTTTGTACTGTCTCCATAGTCTTGCCTTTTTCAGAATGTCATATACTTGGAATTATATAATATGTAGCCACTGCACACTGGCCTTTTTCATTTAGTAATGTGCATTTAAGTTTCCACCAATTCCTTTCATAGCTTAATGTTTTATTTATTTTTAGCACTGAAAAATATTCCATTATCTGGAGAAGTTTAGAATTTGGCCTCTGAGTGAATTTTGTCACAGTTTATTTATCCATTCACCTACTGAAGTACTTCTTAGTTGCTTCTCGGTTTTGGCAATTATGAATAAAGCTGCTGCAAACATCTGTGTGTAGGTTTTGAAATAAATTCAGTTTTAAGCATGATAAGTAAAGATACTTGAGTAAAAATATTCAAGAATCATCTGGACATTTACAAGTTAGCATTTGTAAGGGAGATTAATATATATATATATACACACACACACACACTTGAGTGTATTATATATATACAAAAACACTTGTAATATATATTTGTAGTAGTTATTCAATTTTTAGTTTCTTTAATGAAAATCTTCTATATCCTGGGTACTACATTTGGTGCTGGAAATGCAAAGTTGAGAATACTAAGTTCTTGAGTTTAGAGAGCTCACAGGACAGTAGGAAAAACAGAAACAATACCAGTATAGTATGGGGAGTACCATAATATAAGTATTTTGGAATTGTAATCAATTCCATATGGCAGAGGCTGAGCACACCTCACAAAACTAATGGCATTTGAACTGAACCTGAGGGAAGACAAAAAGCTCACAGGCAGATGATGTGAGGATAGTAATTAGAGACCCAGAGTTTAGAAAAAACACACAGTAGGCTGATATTGGGAAAATAGTGTGTGCAGTTAAGCTAGAAAGACAGGTCAGTCAAATGGGGAAAGGTCTTTTAGGCCCTGCTAACGAATTTGAACTTTTTCTTTTATTAGTGATAATCACTGAATAATTCAAAGCACAGGTATGATGTGGATGAGGACTTTAGAATATATAATCCCATTGCCTGTATGGAAGATAGGATAGAAGAGGTGAAGATGATGTCCCAAGAGACTAGGAAAGCTAATGGGCTAGGCTAGTTCACATCAGAACAATTCTTATATGTGATTATGGAAGTAGAGATGAAGGAGGAGATTCAGTAGATACTTAAGAAGTGGAATCTATAGGACAATTACATTCAAAAATATTGTTTATCCTATTCTTAAGCCTCCTTTTAAAAGTATACTAGGATCTTTTTGATTTATGAAAATAATAGTATATAGAGAAGGTAAAAACAGAAATGCCACTGATGCGTCACAATGAAAACTTTGAATTAATTTTCCGTATTCCCTGACCAGAGTCCTTAAAAACAAACTGTTTTAATAAAATATTATTTTTCTTTTTAATATAAACTTTTTCAGGCTAGCTTTTGAACTTTTGTTTTATAGATCTTAGATGTCAAGATATAGGGAAACATAAGTCTCCACTGAGAAAATTAGAGAATTAAAAGTATCAAAGGGCCATTGAATACATTTTGTAGCACAAAATCTTAATGATTGACATGTCATATGGACTGAACGGTTGGCATAGATCTAGAATGAGAGTAAGTAAAATTCCCAGACATTTCTCTGACGATCAGTACTGGCATAGTCTGGTATACAGGGTCGAACAGCAGAGAGAGTAGTTAAATCTACAAGCACTAAATTAATTCATTAATTGTCCTTAATTGGCAATTTGGATTTTCCACTTGAGTAACTTTGTTGGGAAGTTATTGCCTTTTGTAACTATGGGGTAACAATTAGCTAATAAGATCTTCCAAGAATAAGTTGAGATATTGAGAAAGCAGATGTAATTATGATTAGAAATTAAGATAACAGCCAGAGGATGTACTGTGGTAGCACCAACAAATTGAAATCAGGACAAAATAAACAGAGAACATTTTAGGTGCTGCTGTTACTGTTGTGGTTGTTACGTATTGCCAGTGTAATTGTGCGCATGTGTATGAGTGTATGTATCAATATGCTTTTTTTCTTTCTCATTTAATTTCAGGTATGACAGTGATAGCTGGTGCCCACCATTACCGGTACAAACATACTTACACCAGGGTATGGAAGATGAACTGGAAGAAGATGATGATCGTGTCCCAACACCTCCTGTCCGAGGCGTGGCTTCTTCTCCTGCTATTTCCTTCGGACAGCAGTCCACTGCAACTCTTACTCCATCCCCACGGGAAGAGATGCAACCCATGCTGCAAGCTCACCTGGATGAGTTGACAAGAGCCTATCAGTTTGATATAGCAAAGCAAACATGGTAAATAGTTTCATTAGGTCAGAGGACCCATGCCTTCGGCACAGGGATAGGGGAAATATTCTTCTATGATAAATTCACAAGAAGTTCTTGTTGAGCCATACAGCTGAGGTTAGAAGTGCTTTTGTGCAACTCATTAATCATCCAGATAAAGAAATTGGCTAAGGACCTGTTAAATAATTTGATCAAAGTCACATAACTGGTTAAAGAGGAAACCGGAGCAAGAATTCAGATTTGCTGAATTTCAGGTTACACTGCTTTTGGCTACATCAGAATTTTTTCTAATTTACAGTTTAGCTTCAATTAGCTTATCCTTGAACTCACTTCCAATGCCATAATAAAAAACTCCTTCTAGATTCTTCAGAGTGCCTGTGATTAATCCTGTATGTGGTCGTGAATATGTAAATGTATGCTTCTGCAAATCACATATGGTCAGTGTCAGTTATTAAAAGACCTTTGAGCTGAATTAAATGAGACAGAAAAAAACCCAGCAGTATTAGTAAATGCATTAAAAAATAAAACCAAGAATAAATTAGAAATCCCAAATTCCTTTTTTCTAACCAATCCACACACTTTCCTAAGGTATAGACAGCAATCTACTTAGGTGTCCTGTGTAGGTATGGAAAAAATACAAGTGGGATGAGCTCTCACAATTTTGTCGTCATTTTTCCCCCACGTGTTCTCTCTTTTCCCAAACAGTGACGTGTAAGTCTGGCTCTTGAAAACGAAATCTCAATTGACATACCTCTGATTATCTTCTATTGATTTCCATGATGTGTTTGAAGTTAAATTTTTATGAGATAGCATTTGCTTTTTTTTTTTTTTTGATAGTTTTAGTTACTGGGATAGTTGATAATGAGGTAAATCTCATTCTCAGTGTTAACGCACTATTTATTTTAAAAATATAGCAAAATATACAAAGAGATACTAAAATCAGGCTTATTGTTTAAAGCTTATTACGAACATAGGTTCTTTTCTTGGAACCAGAGGTCTTTAAACCTTTTTTTCTCAATCATAAGTTGTCTTTTTCAAGGACCAAAGAAAATCTACTGTTAAACAGTATTATTTTGCCTCAGGCTGCTTCATAAAATACTGCTATTTGGGTCAAAGCCCACTGCTTTAAGAGCCAAAGGATTTCCTCAAAGTCAACTAACGCAGCCATGTACTTTAATCATCTAAGGCACAGTTTCCAGCTCAGGTGCCCTCAAATTTGCCTGCACTTTGGAATCACTGGGATAACTTTAAAATACATTGATACATAAGTACAACCCCCATTTGACTGAGGGCAGGTGAGGTTGGAACCACTGGTACTGGTTGTATGACAATGAGCAACTCCCTTAACATCTCTGTGCTTCCATCCCCCATTTTTTTTGTTTGTTTGTTTTTAATTTATTTATGATAGTCACACACAGAGAGAGAGAGAGGCAGAGACACAGGCAGAGGGAGAAGCAGGCTCCATGCACCGGGAGCCCGATGTGGGATTCGATCCGGGGTCTCCAGGATCGCACCCCGGGCCAAAGGCAGGCGCCAAACCGCTGCGCCACCCAGGGATCCCTCCATCCCCCATTTGTAAAACGATGATGCTGATACCAATTAGCTTATACACTCTGTGAGAACACAGTATCCAAGCCGACCACCCTTGGCTTCAAGAATTCATAGGAAAGGATCCATAGAACTCACTGGATACCATTATACTGAAAGATATGGTTTTTTTGTATTGAAAAGATAAAGATTAAAATCTGCCAAGAGAAGAGATGCACAGGCAGAGTCCAGGACGGTTCCAAAGCTAGAACTTCCAGTAGTCCTCTCCAGCAGAGTTGTGGAAAGCATCGCTTTCCCAGCAACAACATATGACAATATGCACGGAGTATTGCCAATCAGGGAAGTTCATAGGAACGTTGAGTTTCATGGTCTTTCTTGCAGCTTCGTCACATAGACAGGGTTGGCTATCTGCATGGCTGACCTCAGTCTCTCACCCTTCCTGAAGGCAAGCTGAAAGCCCCTACCACAAATCACTTTGTTAGACTTTCTGGAGACGTCTATGGTCTCCAGGTAAACAAAGACACTTCTATCAAAAGGACATTCTAGAACTTAGAGAGAGGTTACGTCCCTGGAACACATGGCAAAAGCCTAACTTCTCTTTGGGGCAAGATCAAATTCTGTTTTACACATCACAGTTTTTGTGAGAATCAAATGAGCTCTGTGTGACTCAGTTGGTAAAGCATGTGACTCCTAATCTTGAGGTTTTGAGTTCCAGCCTCATGTTACGTGTAAAGATTACTTAACATTACAATTAAAAAAAAAAAACAGTGAGATGGGTTTGCTTTTATATAGGACCTAGTCTAGTGTCTAGGTGTATTATTGCTGTTATTTATTCAGAAGGGCCTGGGTTTTCACCTGAATTGTTCACCACTGTCTTTCCACTGTTGGAAGAGCACTTCCCTTAGTGAGTGTTGCATAGATATTTGCTAAATGAGTGCACAAACAAGTTCTCTGCCTGCTCCAGGTACCCATAGGGCAAACCCTGTTTCTTTCGCTGAGTATGTTTCTGTTAAGTTGCAACAATCCTCCAGAGATTCCCTAGTGATGCCCTTTGTAAAAGTTATGAGCTTGTGTGTACTCGCACAGGATCTTGCCCTTCAACATCACTGGAGGAACATTTAAAAGATTATCATTTCCAGGCTCCACCTTCAGAGATTCTGTTCATATTGACCCATGTAGTACATAGCACAATGCTTCTCACTACAAGAGATTTATAAATGTTTTACACCCTCTTCTTATTTCAGTTTATCTCCTACTTCTGCTGAACTCAAGGAGGACATTTTATACCTGACTGTATACCTGTTCCATTCAAGAGGTGTCAGCAATGATGTAGGACTAGAATGTTGGTTTCTTAGGTGCACACCATTAGAGGAGAATGAATAATGTATATAAATATTATCTTATATTCTCTTGCTCATGACTTTAGTCCATCCTCGATTCACAAACAAAATTTGAGGCAACATTTACAGCAAGATGTCATCATCAACATTCAAGATTTTCTGTACCAATAGTTTAGAGACTTCCTGATTTTTGCATGAAGGAGCTATAATGAGTACCAGATAAAGACTTAGGAGCTCAGATTCTTGATCTGTTAAATTAAAAATGTGACATTTTAGGGTTTGGGTTTGCTTTTTTATTTTTAATTTTTATTCTTTTAGATTTTATTTATTTATTCATGAGAGACACAGACAGTGAGAGGCAGAGACACAGGCAGAGGGAGAAGCAGGCTCCATGCAGGGAGCCCGATGTGGGACTCAATCCCGGGTCTCTATGACTATGCCCTGGGTTGAATGTGGTGCTAAACCGCTGAGCCACGGGAGCTGCCCTGTTTTTTTATTTTTAACTTTGAAAAATTTAGAATGTTGTTAACATTGGAGTTGGTTGACAGTTTAAGAACGCCGTTGGGAGAGGACTGTTAAATTCTGGAAGAAGTAAATATTTTCCCCAAAAATGCAAGTATTAAAAATCATCTTGTATCTTTAATTTTAAAACCTAGGGTAAAAATGCATACTACCTGACATACATGTGCCTTAAATAGCCTATGTCTTTTAAGTACTTTGTATCAAGGCAAAAAAAAAAAAAAAAAGACAATGTTTTAAGACATGTGGTATATTCACTTCTTAATGACAACAACAGATAACAATGATTTTCATATGTATCGTGGCATTTATAATTAGAAGAAATTCTTAAGTAGTCACAAAGTGATTCAACAACCCCAGTGTCCAGGTCTGCATTTTTCTAGCCATGTCATTTGAAACAAGTCACTTAAGTTTGAACTTCACTTTAATAAAAGACAAAGGTGATGATGCAAGTTCTGTCTACTTCACAAGTTACACATGCATTGCAAACGATGTGTTTAGCACACCCAATGTTGTAAACACAGAGTGCTGAGATGAACTTTTTCTAATTTGAGGCATTTTAGACTTTGGTGGGTAAAACAGAGGCACAAATAAGTAGCTAGAACACAAAGTAGCCAATCCTACTTTAAACGGGGTTAAAGTAGAAACAACGACTTAGCCTGATTCATGGGGGATGTGTAGGAAGAATGCCTTGAAGGGCAGGCAACTTGCGCCTGGCTGTAAGAAGAGTTATTGGTATTAACCTTTCTTTTCTTCATAAGGGCCAGCAGGTTACATGGACTATACAGGCTGAGTAGAATTTTGACACTAAACTGGAAACAAAATTATTATGTTTTGGGGGGACCAAAAAAAAGCCTTAAACAGTTATATGTGGCAAATACTCACATTTGCCTTTGGATGATTTATTTATGCAAAAATGTTGGGTCTGTATTTTTTTTCTCCATATATTACCCCATAAATACCAACGGAAGAAATTTAAGAGGCTATATTGTTGTTTTGACTAGTCATGTATACATAGCCCATTATCTCTGCTGAAATGTAGAAAAGCACTGTAAGCTCCAAAATTAGTTAATAGAAAGCAAGAAGACAAAATTAGTCACCGTAACATGCTGTTTCATTCTAATTTTGTAGGATGTTAATGAATTCCCTTTTTCTCCCCATTTGAATTCTAGGCACATTCAAAGCAATAATCAACCTCCACAGCCCCCGGTTCCACCATTAGGTTACATGTCCGGAGCCTTGATTTCCGATTTGGAAACAGATGTTCCAGATGATGACGCTGATGATGAGGAGGAAGCTTTAGAAATCCCCAGACCCCTGAGAGCACTAGAGCAGACACCCGGATCCAGTATGGACAATCTAGACAGCTCTGTGACAGGTAACAGAACTGATTTAATAGGAATAACTGACCTATTTATAACATTAAAATGCATCAAAAATCAAATACTTTCTTATGTAAGATTTATTCCACTCCAGCTATTTCTATAACATTTTAAATATGTTAATATTAAACACAAAATTCAAAAAGGATTTGGAAATACTTTTGCTTTGCTGCAAAAATGATAAGAAAATTCATGAATTTTAAAAAGCTTTAAAGACATGAAAGAAAACTCAATTATATCCAAGGCTTTCATGAAAAGTTCACTCTACTGGGGAACCAAGTCTATTACATAAAAAAAAAATAAACTTGACTTTTAGAAATGATATGTTTTGTATATCAGGAGCAATATACAAAGTCAATGCAATCTTAAAACGCTTCTTGATATTTCACTCTGTAAAATCATTCACTGATGAAAGTAAGCAAGTCTTCAGAATGAGCCTCTCTGAGGTTGCACAAGGTATTATTTTTAGAGTGGAGAAAATGTATAGTGAGATAAGCCATGCATTTACACATTTCATATCATCGGATTCAATAATTGTTCGTCTTCCAAGAAATATGCTTATTTTTGCGGTTTGCTCCTTCAGCATCCTCTGGCTTTGTTCACCAACTGAAAGGTTCCAGTTGCTTCTCTCCTAGGGTGATCCCAGGACTGCAACCTATTTTCAAGGATTTAATTTATCCAGTTTTGTTGAAAAAACTTGAATCCCAATGTGTACACAATGACTTTAGAGATATGTCCAAATGTTTGTTATCTTTCTATTCAAGTAGGTATCTATTCGCTGACATACATATACAAATGTCTCCTATATGATTATAAAGACAGGACTACCACAAATGAAGGTCTTGCCTTTGCATGGCATTGAATCTTCTCAGAAAAATCACCCATTTCTGTATTTATTTTGATGATATCATCTTCATCCCAGGAGGCATTTACCACAGTCCCTTTTAATTCATTTGTACTCCAATGCTCCCAACTTGCACAGATTTTGCCCTATGTATTTGAGTTCAGCCAATCCTGATGGAAGCTTCTTTATGACAGTGATGGAGAAGGATAAGGACCTTTAGGTTTCCTCTGTATGCCTTACTGAGTAACACAATGTGTGATGCATGAGCCCACTTTCAGTTTTGCTTCTTACCTGGGGGCTGCTTGCCAGGCTAATTGAGATTTAAGAACTGCAGATATACTGCTGTGATTTGAAATCCAGATTCAACTGAAGGTGGCAGAGCAAAAGTTTAAATCTTTGAATGTAGAGATCTAACTTATTAGTGCACTATTATGTTAAGCCCCTTTGCCTGAATTTGTAGCATAATCTCCTTCAGGGTAAAATTCTGCATATTTTTGCATATCTCACTAATGATACTGAACTCTTTTCCATTAGGAATGCAGTAAGAATTGTAATAATAACACACAAAAAAGGGCAGCTATAGCCTATGTAGTTTTTTATTAAATATTATAATGTCAAAGATGATAAATATATCTATAAATCAAGAGACTGCCATTTCGCACTTTTACATGCTCACCTGTTAGTAGCATGTTATGCTATTTAATGTGAATGTGGTTAAAACCAGTCTCCCTTTCTCCTTGTAGTGAGTATACTGTTCATTCCACATGAAGCTTTTATTGCTAAGAAAACAGTCTGTTTTCCTCCTTGAATTCACTGCTTAATTACTACCATATATAAAAACCTGAGGGTGTTTGGGTATATATTACATGATGAATTTACCCTATGAATAATACATCTTCTCAGAGAAAGAAGTTGTATCCTATAAAAAGTAGCCAAAGAAAAAAACTCTTTACTCTCTTCTTTATTTTTAATTTTTTTTTTAAAAACTTTTGGCTATGCAATGACTTTGTGGGGAAAGTATGATCAAAGATTTAATTTGTTTTCTAGTACATAAGTATAATGTAAGTAAATATAAATTTTTAAAAGTAAATATATTTTCTCAAAAAAGCATGTGTGTGTAGGAAGTGTTAGTATATAGATGTGTGTGAGAGAGTATAGATAGTGTTTGTGATTATATCTGCATGTAAGTGTATGCAGAGGTTTGTATGTGTGTGTGTGTGTGTGTGTGCGCACAGGTGTGTGAGTGTAAATAGGATTTTAAGTGTATTAGAGTGTGTGTGCGCGCACACATGCATACATGTACACATACGTGGAGATGGCCCTAAGGTGAATATATGTCCAGGCCAAATGTTATATAAATGAACATACTAATGAATTTTGTCCTAACATGTGTATGTTTTATTCAGACACTTAACAAGTTTAATGGTGCTAAACGAGGTGGGCAATAAAACAGACACTGTTTCCATTGACTTTTTATGTTTTTAAGATGGCAAATACCCACAGAGAGGATTCTGATCTTACTGTAAATTACTCAGGGTTCTAAATTTGTGTGTACAAGGAAGTCAAGCATTACTTTCACCTAAATCATCTGGTAGAGATTTTCATTTTCATGAAACTAATAACCATTTTTATTAAATGGAACAAACAGTCCTATTCCATTTCCTGAAACTCTAAAACCAACCAGAATGATAGTCCAATGATAACACAGAGATGAGCTAATAAGCCTGTGTATACAATTATTCAGGATTTTACTTGGATATATTACATTCCAACACTTAACCACATTAAGTAATATCAGCAGCTAACCATAGTACAGAACCCATCTTCATAAAGAAATAATTATATTAATTCCAAATACTTTCAAAACAATCAAGTCATTTGTGATAGACATCTTCAATTTTGAAATAATGGTTCATGAATGGAAAAGCAAGAAGAGAGGGAAATATCTGTAGTTCCATATCCCATAACCTCATGCCTTAGCCTGGTTGGACTGCTATAACAAAAGGAGTAGATCGGGTGGGTTAAACAACAAGCATTTATTGCTGGCAGTTCTGGAAGCTAGGAAGTCCAAGATCAAGGTGCCAGATATGGTTCCTGGTGAGTTCCTCTTTCCTAGCTAGCAGACAGCCATCTTTGTGCTGTGTTCTCACATTGCAGAGACAGCAAGTTCTCTGGTCTCTTTTTCCTATTTAAGATTTTATTTATTTATTTGACAGGGAGAGAGAGAAAGAGAGAATGAACCAGAGAGTACAAGCAGGGGGAATAGCAGAGGGAGATGGAGAAGCAGGCTCCCCGCTGAGCAGTGAGCCTGACGTGGGGCTTGATCCCAGGACCTAGGGTTAGACCTGAGCTAAAGGCAGACGCTTAATCCACTGAGCCATCCAGGAGCCCATAGTCTCTTTCTATAAGGGCACTCATCCCTTATAGATGAACCCACATTCATGGCCCCATCTAAACCCTAATTACCTTCCAAATGCCCCACACGTAGGGATGAGGGCTTCAACACACAGATTTTAAGGAGAAATCAACATTCAGTTTCAAAAACTCAGTAATGTGAAAAATGTATTTGCAAGCCTGCTATGTTATGTTTATTCCCACAACAAACATTTATCAGATGTCAATTCCTTCCAACCTATTGACTTGGAATTTAGAAATAATAATAATGATGATAATAATAATAACAAGATGGAGAAGAATACTAGCTTGCACATATATAGCCCTTAGTAGGTGCAAGGCATCTCCTAACAAGTGGCCTGTTTTTCTTTCGTGGTTCCATGAGCTAAGAATTTCCCACATTTTTAAAGGATTCTAAGAAAACATGGAACAAACAAAAACAAAAAAAGAGACAGCAAAGTCTCAAATACAGGGTATCTGGCACTTTATAGAAAAGTTGGCTGATCTTTTTCCTAATATTTTAACATGTATGAATTCACTTAACGGTCACAACCTTATTTTTATTCTCAAGTTATAGATAAGGAAATTGGGTCACAGAGGGGTTGAAAGTCTTTTTAAGGTTACCCACCTGATGAGTGACAGAAGAATTTTCCAAATAAATTGTTCTTACTCTTAAGATGAATACCATGATCCCTTCTTCAGAGACACCCAACTTTTTTTTTCTAATCTCTGAATTTAACGTATTTAAGAAGAAAATTATTTCCTGGTCTATTACTTAACATATGAATCTCTAGTCTCTCTCTCTCTCTCTCTCTTCCTTTCTGTGTGTATGAATGTGTGTGTACACATATGAATAAGTGTATATTTGTACAAATACAGCATATAATTTTATCTCTGGAAACACTAGTCCTTATCCCCTATACACTTAATGAAGATTTTTAAAATCCTAATTTTTAGATGTAACTTGTATTTATTTCTTATATTCACTATATTCTATTATAGTGACCCATGCTACCAAAAACCAATGATATCAGCACTTTTTATAGGAAATCTCCTTTTTTATTTAATTTCTACTATATTCTAGTATATACTATATTCTAGAATATGCTATATTCTAGTATAATATACTAGAACTATATTATATTTCTACTACTATATAGTAGAAATTATATAAATGTCTACTAAACTTTAGACTTCTTTGGTTATAATAAAGTATGAATCTGTCTTGATTATAGTGCACCACACTCTGTTTTGGTTGAGAAAGTAGAACATCCAGAGTTGTTTCGGTCTCCAGGAATGTGCATGCTGTACTTCCTCCTTAAAGGCCAAGTCCACTATGGTAACAGGACAGAGCAAGGAGTTAATACTTCTTTCTCTATCTTCCATAATGGGAGTCAGGGGCAAGTGTTTCCTGAATTTAATAACTCCACCACAGGAAAAAAGAAACAGAAGGCAGTGGGAGAAGGGGCAGAAAGAAAATGTCCTGTACCTGGAGCCAAGATTCTTGCCGCTTCACTGATCACAGAAAGCACAACGGAGAGGGAGTTCCATGAAGTGAAATGAATAAAAGTTTCCTTAACTGCTGGACCCCACATAAATACTACGACTGAAAGGAAATCATGGCTTTATGTTTTCTGTGTTTTATGTCCTTGGAGGTTTTTACTGAAACTCCCAAACCAGATCGTTTTGAAAACAATAAAACCTGGCAGCCTCACCACCTTGCTGACCACACAGCTTTTCGAGAATTGGCCACTTAAAAGTGGGACCTGATGTTTTGCTTTTGTTGCAGAAGCTTAAGGAAAATGCTGCTGTAGAATGAGGGGAATTTCAGAGATAATGCTTAAAAATAATGAAAACACTTTCTTAGACAACTTCAACAGCTGGGATGTATTTAAAAAGAAATTAAACATATACTTCAGACTTTAAGAGATAAAAGGGGAGTATCATACATTCATTTTTTATCTGAGTGGAACAAATTAACAGGTGCCATATGTCCCAAGGAAGAAATTTTGTAATTACTTATTTTGCTTTCCATATATATTACACATTCTTTTCCTCTGAGGAATGTAGGTGGAATCACTGCATATTCAATGTTTTAGTGAAAGAAGGACTTCTAAAGATTAGATGTGTTTTTCTACATTTAAGCAGAGGTCAATATCTGGATTGATTTGTCCAAAGACACTTATAGCTGAAGATTTTATTTAACAGATATTTAGACTGATTGCACTTAATAGGAAGAGTTCCTGGATTAAATATTGGCTGAAAAAGTGGGGGACAGCCAGTTTTTGTATCTCATAAAAATGGTAATGCAACAATTAGCAGGGTCATATTATGAAGCACAGACTTTACTCTAGCTTAATGGATCTAAGGATAAGCATTTATCAGCAAGGAAGGATTTAGCATAAAACGACATGTAAATGAATTGATGACTGATCATAAATTAATTTTAGTGCTGAAGATGTAATAGAGACACAGCAAGATGCCACTTTATCATGGTATTTTACTGCTCAGTAACGTTTGAGCAACAACTTAATGTCCTATATGTGGTTCTTCTTTAATAGCTTGAATAAATTTGAGATTTTTTTGGCCTTTCAGCAACTTTAAACCTGAGAAATTTCCAAAGATTGAAAATGTAAACAAAAATAAATTTGGCTATGTGACATAAATTCATTTTTCATTAAATGTTTAAATACATATTGATTATGTTTGGGGTTATAACATGTCAAATTGGTATGAATTGCTTCTAATTTGTAAAGAATCTCTACCTGAACTCATTCACTTTGTATTCATTTTAATTTTTATGCTTCCATTTACATTTATGAAAGAAAACCAGTTATCCCAAAACTTGCTTACTCAATAATTCATGAATCAATGTGTTTCTTTTCTTCTTATCATTGTCTTCTTTTTTTGTAATGGCTTGTATAATTGTTCAGATCATTCTTGATGCTTAAATCTAAAGAAAGAGCAAACATGATAGACACAGAGAGGTGAAATCAGTGATTGCTATATAAATTTAACAATTTTACAATGTGGAAAAAAATTGACATATTTATGTACTTTTTTTTTCTTCATGGTGTATTGCAAATCTTCTTTTAAACTATCCCCTGCAAATGCAACCATTCCATATATCATGCTAAATAGAGATGAGGGGCTATCAAAGATGAAGACTGAGGGACAAAGAGGAAAGAAAATTTATTGCCTTCTTTTTGCTTCCTTCTTGCCCTTCATTTTGAAAGTGAAATCAACCATACTAACCCGAGGGCACTTGCCCTTCTGTAGCTTGGGGTAATGAGGCTTCCTGTTGCCCATCATGGCCAAATTTGTATAGCACATGTCTCTTCAACTTTGAAGTCATCTATCTAGTATCTTGGCTCTTACATAGAGTAGTAAAGAAAACAAAACTGATGTTCTTTCTATATTGACCAAAACCCACTTTAGCCATGTCTTTCATGTTACTCTCTCTTTCCTTGGAAAGGAAAATGGAGACTCCAAAGAAAACTTCATGAATAACTAAGATTTCTGTGGGCACAGCAAGGAGCATTAACAATCTAGATAAACTTAGAGCAAAGACACAAAGGCAGGAAAGTAGCTGATGTGACCCAATTATTTCTTGGCTGGTTATAGTGCAGAAAGGAGAATTAAACAAGAATGGGCTAAGTACATTAGAATAGGTGGTTGAGTGTGGATGGAGAACTCAGGGAAATAGGCAAACTGCCACTCTATATAATATCATTATCTTAATTTGAATAAGATATTGACAGATATCAGTATTATGTATCAAGGTATAGATAATAATATAATATAATATAATATAATATAATATTAATTAATTTTTCACTTTTCCCTTTTGGGTAATAACTCGCTTCTTTTCCTGTTGTCAAGTTGTCAACAAGAGTTGACTGACATTATATTCTTCACTTAATACATTTTCTACAAGTTCTTATAAGTACATTTTTTTCTGTAAGTAAAATAAGTTCATTGCCAGGAAATGGCACATGGGATATTATCACATATAGAATTTACGGTGGATAATGAGAATGTTGAAGACATTTAATTCAATATGCCTGATGTTTGCTCAATTTCTACTGGGCAAAACCCCTATCGAAGAAATATGAAAATGAATAAGAGTCCCTAATTTCCAGAGTTCCACTGTCTAAAAGAAGAAACATTTATATACAACAAACTGCAGTTTGTAGAGACCTGATATGCTACTGTACACATATTATTTGAAAAACACAAGAAGTAGAGAAATTGATTCTACCTAAGACAGTTAAAGGTGAGGTGGAATCAAGGTGATACAAGGGATATTGATTTGGACTTTAAAGTTTGATAGTGATCAATACAGTTAGTGACAATCCAGAGGTGTGTCAGAGGAACCAGAAATAATGCTATGTCTGTAAGGTCAGGCAGTGGGACTATACAAGGTATGAGAGAGTATAGCGCTAGAAGGGTAGGCTGGGCTAGATAGTGAAGCATCTCAAATTCTTAACTTGGTATCTGGATGTGGCATTGGCAAATTAGGTAAGGTTTTGAATGGAGGAACAAAATTACATGCTAAATGAGAAAAATAATTCAGATGACAATGAGGGAGATAGAAGGAACAAGAAGGAAATCAGGAGGTGCCTAAGAATGAAATTGGAGATGTAGAAAAGGAGATGTTTGTTTGGTGATTGAGTTTCACAGATTTATTAGCAGATGCTCAGCAGACATTTAGAAATACAGAAAACGGTACAAGGAAGGGATCAGGATTGAGCTTTCACGTATTTCAAAACTATCCTCAGTCCTAGGGTTTCATATTCTCTGGTGATCACTGACTGAATCACTTTGATTTTTTTTTTCTTATCTACTATAGCATTATATTACAGAGCCCTTGCATCATTTCTCCTTTCATTTTGGGCTGTTGATCCTTGACTTGTGATTATTAACTCAGAAGTGGTTCTCTGAGGAGGCTCTGTTGCACGTGTTATCTGGGTTTCCTTGCAGTGGCCTGTGTCAGGGGAATTTGTTTGGAAAGTAAAAAGTGTATCTCTGTGCTTTTGGCAAACAGAATCAAAACTCTATCTTTCTCTGCTATACTTACCACCCTTTTAACTTCTCAAATTCTTCTAACCCTTTTGTTTCTGTTTTCTCTTTCTTGAAAGTGCATGAACCCCTGTGATTGTATCCTGGCACTTCGACTAAAAGTACAAATGCTTCATCACAGCAACCCTCCCAACTATACTGTTGTCTCTTAAACACTGGAGAAAAGCCAGAGGGAATCTATGGCACTCTATTTTAATAATCACTCTTTTGTGAATATGTAATTGGTCGATGTAGAAAGCGTAAATTCGCTTCTTATAAAACCTTTTTTTTTTTTGCCTCTCTCTCTCTCTCTCTTTTTTTTTTAAGATTTTATTTATTTATTCATGAGAGACACACAGAGAGAGGCAGAGACATACGCAGAGGGAGAAGCAGGCTTCCCATGGTGATCCCAATGTGGGATTCAATCCCAGAACCCCGGGATCATGACCTGAGCTGAAGGCAGACACTCAACCACTGAGCCACCCAGGCATCCCTACCCTGCCTCTCTTTTAAAAAAAGTTAGGTGAAGCAACATTTGGTGCTTTATTGTATCATAAATTAATGGTATATAACTTAAATATTGTAATATTAATTGTAGTAATAGATTAAGGTTTCTGTGTGCCCTGGTTTAAGAAAAAAATAGAATTATAAATGACTTTCTGAAAAACTAAGAATAAAAGTTATTTCTTAATAATCTTCATATTTTAAAGCTCTTGACACATGAAAGTGCAGTTCTTTTCCTCTATTGCCATGGTTTCTACAAAAGTAGAAAAATCCTTATTAATTCCAGTTCTATTCTTCATAATGGTTAATTTTCTAAAACAAAGATTAGTGGTAAAGAGAAAACTGAAGTTCTTAAAATAATTAAAAAGCAACAAAAGCATCTTGAGCTTTGAAATTAAGATTTTTAAAGATATGTTTTTCCCTTTGTTCTATTTGCTCTGACACTATTTATACAATTTCTTTTTGTTTATAATGTTTGTTGTTATATTTCCTGATTATTTAAATTTGTATTTTAAAATCCTGATATGGTTCTAGCACTTCTACAGTCAGCAAGTGTATATTCCATGGTAGTTATCATTGAAGTCTGCATAAATTGAAAATACATATTTCTACTCTTCCTTCCTCTGAGTTCTTGATAAATTTACTTTACATACTCTATAATTTATTTCAATAAAAGTGTTCTTCTCTGAATTGTAGGACTTATAATATATATTCAATTCTCTTTGGGGAAATGACCATGTAGTAATTTAAACAATGTAAGAAAGAAATCATACGAACCATGTTTTGTTTATGTGTTGCACATAGAGACAGGTTTTAAGTGAGATTCATTCTTCTGCACTAGGAATGGTTAAGACATGGCTGATGCTTGCCAATGGCTACAGAGATCAAGATGAAACATCCAGTAGGAGGAGTGAGGAATTGAGGCAGCTCCCTGTCCCTTTAGTAGAGTGTGTGCAAGCAGATGGGCTATCCAATATATACAACTCACTAGACGACTACATTTGTTTTTAGGTTCAATGGTAAATGGCTGGGGCTCTGCATCTGATGAGGATCGTAACTTTTCTAGTCATAGATCTAGTGTAGGTAGCTCCTCAGATGGCTCCATCTTTGCCAGCGGCAGCTTTGCACAAGCAGTGGTGGCAGCAGCAGATAAAGCTGGTTTTAGGCTGGATGGAACCAGCCTTACAAGAACAGGTTGGTAGACTCTGAGTCAACACTATTTGCATGAGAGAATCTTGTCCTTTAAACCCTGAGCTATTTTTCTCCTGTTCTTTCTCCTCAGTGAGTCTGACTGCAGGGGTTTCTTTAATATGCATGACCACAGTTTGGAACCTGGATTACCAGAACTCTCTTCTGATGCTCCTTTTGCAGAGCTGAGAATAGGCTTCTACTCACCACCTTCCATCCTGTCTTTCCCTTTCCCTTCATGGCTCTGCTGATTAATTGGAATATGCTTCCTTTTTATATTACAACCAAGCTGCAACTGAGATTGCCATTAAATTTTCAATAACTCACACTTTGCAAAATTCTCACACAATCAATAATGTGCTCAGTAATTAAAATTATTCAGCTTTTATCTCCATTACTTTCCTTTGCCCCGTTTCTTTCTGTAAATGCATTTTCTGGGAAGGCTTTCTCAGCATGGGGTGAATGGGTCTAAGGCTGTCAGTCTAACACTCCAAATGGCTGATGGTCTTATTAATTGTTTGGCTGTTAAAATTTTAACCCAATAATTTATAATTTATTTTAAAGGATGCTAATTAAAAATAAGCCCACTGCATTTGCAACTTGAATAAAATGCTGACTGCAAGTGTATTTCTCCTTAGCATAATCTAATTTGGGCTTCTGAGAATAATTCAGTACCAATTATATAATTTTTCATGTATCTGATTCTGTCCCCAAAATAAATGTGAGATCCATTCTAATAATAGATCAGTAATTTGTAAGTTGTTTTACTGAAACAAAATAATTGGACATGATCCATGCTATTACATGACTGTACTTTTTAAATGCACATATAAGAAGGTTCTAGGATATGAATTAAGCCAAGCTACCTTACAAAACAAACGAAGCCTTAAACACAGTTTTGGAATCGTAATAGTATTCTAATAGTAAAGTGAAGAAAAACGGTTTTGACCCTTCACTAAACTCTCAGGTTATAAAAAGGAGCCCTGGAAATTTTCTTTGAATTATACCATCAGTATTTCTTTTGAGTATGCAGTAGGAATCTTCAAACGATAGAAAAAATTCCAAGCATTGCAGAGGTTTATTTTTCATATAGCATCCAAACTAAAATATGTTGTAATATAATGGTTATTTGAATTTTCTTGCTTTATAAGACGTAAGTCAAAAACTTTATGTTGCCTGAGTGCTTTTTGTGGCATAGCTATAAGCACAGCAGTGAGAAAGTGCAAGAAAACTAATAAATTAGAAGGCATAAGTGCATTTCTTGCATGTATGCTAATAGCTAATAAAGCATTAAGCAATATCATGTCACATTGACTTAAGGAAATGTAACTACATACAATAATTTTGTGTGAAATGAAAACATGCACAAGAGAATAAATACATACACATAAAACAGCACTCACTTACCATAATAAAGATTATATTAAAATCATAAGATGTTGAACATTTATTAGCTACCCTTTTCACAAAATAAATTTCCCTGCATATGTACTAAACCTCAAGAAAAGGACATAACACAATTTCATTTTTCAATGAGAATTTGGAGTCTGCTCAGATACAATAATATTCATCAGAAAATACCTATTGCACTTTGGATATGCAAGGTGATTTTAACCTGCTATCTATCGTATTCTGTAGACTAATGTTATTGAGTTTTGTAAAAGAGGTAAAATTCATCACGTATTTGTATGGGTAGTAAGGTCAGTTTTAATATATGTCTCTGAGCAGACCTTTCATGTAAATTTTCAAATGCAATTACTTCAGGACCTTTTTCTGTGCTCAAAGAGAGTTTGTAAGATTCCAAGGATAAAATTTGATTAAGCAAATAAGACAAGTACAAAATTCGTTTCAGAAATAACTTCTTTAATTTTAAGAAGTAAGAGCAGCCTGAATTTGCATATATCCATAAAAATATCACTAAGATCATCAAGGCTAAATAAAAATATAATCAAGTAATATCAAGTTTTTGGTTGGTGGATTTGTTCTATAATTCATTTGTTTGAATTTTTTCAGTGTGTTGGTTACAAAAAGTTGGATAAAATAAATTCAACAAGGAATATTTTCTTATGGAGATGTGCCAGTATTTGACATCTTCAAATGGCATCTCTAGGCAACTTTATAGGTTAGCCTAAGAGCAGAAATACAAAACAGGCAGCATCACTGCCTTATAACATTCTCTATACCCCATTCCCTTTGTTTTCTTTCTAGGCAAAGCTTTTACCTCCTCTCAAAGACCTCGACCAACCAGCCCATTTTCTACTGACAGTAATACCAGTGCAGCCCTGAGTCAAAATCAGAGGCCTCGGCCCACTAAAAAACACAAGGGAGGGCGAATGGATCAACAACCAGCATTGCCTCATCGAAGGGAAGGAATGACAGATGGTAGGTTTGTTTTCTTCTCTCATCTCCTCACTGAAGAGATGTGCTCTGTGCAAATCATTAACTTAGATTAAAGTAGCTATGGTAGATTAGGCCTTTCCTCATCATGTAACAGGCAGAAAACCTAGCAATATGCTCTTGTTTAAATAAAACACCCTCTTCTATATTACCAAGCCCCAAGAAATGTGTGCCATACCACTTATCAATATTGATCTTGCTGCCATTCTAGCATTTTCCATTAATGCTTTTTAAAAAACATTCCCGTTTGAGGTTAGGAAAGAAAATATAGGTAGCACGTGCACTTGCTATGAATTTCTGATATTAAATTTGAGACATATCAGACATCAAATTAAGATAACTTAGATGGTATTTCACTTTTGAAAAAGACCATGAAGTGATTTGTAATTTAGCTTTTTTTTTTTTTTTTTTTTTTTTTTTTTTTAGTTTCATGAATTTTAGGGCTAAAAGCATACTACAGATCATCTAGTAGATGGGTCAACAAACTTTTCTGTAAAAGTCCAGATAGTAAATATTTTTTACTTTACCTGGCCATATGGTTTCTGTGTGAGTATGGTTATAGGGGAAAAAAAAGAAAAGAAAAATAAGAATGGGTGTGACTGATTTCCAGTAAAACTTTAATGATAAACAGGTGAATTTGGCCCATGGACCATAGTTTGCTGATCTATTTCAATTCTTTTATTTACGTTTAGCATTCAGTCTTTGAGTATTTGCTTAAACACTGCTGGTTTCAGGAAGCACAATATTACTAGGAGATCTCCTTGTTCAATAAAGAGTATCTTATCTCTATAAAGCAGGATCTATATCGCATATGTTCAACTTAATTCTCACACATTTAAAAATAGAAATATAAATATTTATCCCAAAATTTTATTCTAAGGAATAGTTAAGATGATTTATGTCAAGAGCCTAGTATAATGCCTGACCCAAAGGTACATTTCTTCCCCCTTCTCAACACTATCCCTTACGGGTACACAAACTTTATCCTGAGGTAGTTCTGCTAAATACCAAAGGATGAACCTAGCCCAGCTACACATTGGAACTATCTAGGGAGCTCTTAAATTATACCCTGGAGATTGTGATTTAATTTTTCTGGGTAAAAACCAATTATGGATATTTTTAAAGCTCCACAAATGAATCTAATGTGCAGTCAGCATTGAGAATCTATGATGGAGTCTTTAGCATTCATGTCAGTGTCTTAGACTTATCATTATAGGACAGAATGAGACTTAGCTGGGAAAGAGGTACTTGTTCTTTATTGTTTTGGGAGGAAGGGTCTGTATCTGGCAGCCATCTTTGTGCTTTCTTTTGTCGTTTTGTAATGGAGGGAAGACTTTAAAAGTCAAACATAACTTGTTCTAAAGCTTTCAGGTTTACTTATCTTTCTGGTTACTTTATTTTCTTGGGAAGTGTTTCTATGGAATATGCACTCTAGATTTTAATTACTGTACAAACGAATATCCTGTGGTGAACAAAGATGCTCACCACTGCCTTTCTGCCTCAGATGATCTAAAGATTAGTTGAGTACTTAAAACAGTGAATAGTGTTGATCTTATTCTTTCTAGATAAAAACAACCACCTTCATTTATGTGGTAGTTATAAATCTCAGAATTAATAATTTTGTATAGTTTTCCTGCTATGAAAGGAAAAAGAGAACTTTTTTTTTTTCTGAAGCACTGGAAGATTATATACAGAATATATGGAAGATAACAAATATAAACCAACAAAATAGTTCTCCATTTCTTCCTAAAATACTTTTCTTGTGAATCTTTTTCAGAATGTCTGGTTAAAGCAAGCTACCTTCTAGTTTAAAACATGATCAATATATTGCTTATTTTCCTAAATAACAAATAGGTTCCTAACTTTTAAATTTTCCAGCATTTCAAAAGGGGGTATGGATTATGTGTAGTTAGTAGATATATTTTGGAAGTAGTGATACTGCAAGGGAAATATCAGCTCCCATGTCTTCCTAAGTTTATGATCCAATGATATTCTAATTATGATATGGGGACATTTACTATGAATAGCACTCTAAAGATTATCCTTAAGGATGTTATTTTTTTATAGTAAATGTATGATTTAGTATATAGTAAATATAGATTCACATGGCATGAATCCATGCATTTGTAATAATTTTATAATATCCAAATCCATGCATCTGTAATAATTTTATAATATCCATATGTAAAATTAAACTGTTCTTTTAGAGAAGGTTGCCATTTGGTAACACCTACTGTATAGACATTTTTAAACTAGAACTTTTGCTTTATACATTTTAAAATTATTTTTGGTGAGTAAATTAATCAGAATAATTATTATTAGCTGCTATACCAAACAACTTCTCTCAGTGACTTGGTACAACAAATTTGTTTCTCAGGGTCACACTAACTTATAAAGGTCAGGTGGCTCTCCTCTAAGTACTAATGTAAGGATATATGCTTTTTCAATATTGGGATACTGTTATTTTTAAAGTGAGACATTTATGGCTTCTGAGTGAAAGGGAAGACAAAATCGGGGTGATCACTTGGAAGGTTCTCTGGTCAGGCCTGCAAGTGGCACATATCACTTCTCATTTCATTGACAAGAGCACTGGCATATGACAGCAGACTAATGACTGGAGTGGGAAGGTAATATTTTCTTGTCTCTAGTAAGAGGAATTGGGAATGGTGTAAAACACGAGTTTCTGTCTCAAAGGTGATGCAAAAACCAACACACACACATCAAGGAATAAAGACTCTCCTAAGCAGACATTACTCAATGCAACTCTTCTGTTCCATTTGCATAAGATAAAGAATACTTTTTAAGACTAATTGACAAATGCTGCAGAATGAAGGCAGAGAAAGTAATTTTCTATCCATCAACCTTTTTTCCCTAGATCATCTCCTTCTGGTCTACTCTTCCCTCATTCCTAATGTCCTAGTTAGAGAAGAGACTCCTCTGCCACAAACTAGCTTGGCCGCAAACTAGCTCTGCCACAAAATAGCTTGGACCATTAAGCAAATTTCTTATTCATTAATCTATTCATTCAAATATTTAATAAGCATGTACCAAATGATGGGCAATGGAAACCAAATGGGTAAAATTCCCTTTTTTGCTCCCTCCTGGAGCTTATATTCTATTAAGGGAAGATAAAACCAACATAAATATATAAATGAAAATAAAAGTAAGATGGTGCTAAGTGTCATGGAGAAAAAAAAATAGGAAGGAATTTGAGAAATACCAAAATGGGGGGAGGTCTTTTATAAGGAGAGTCTGTCTCAGGGAAGACTTGACCAAGAAGATGAGAGTAGAGAAGACTAGAAGATTAAAAGAGAAAGAGCAGTGCTGTTACTGAGGAAAGGTCATTCCAGGACATGAGAACACCAAATGGAAGCCTGAAGCTTATTTACTAAAAAATAAAAGAAGCAGTGTGACTGAAGTAGAGAGAGCAGCAACAAAACAGAATATGAAGTTAGACAAATAAGTGAGAGCCAGCGATTGTAGGGCCTTAAGCTTCTATGAGGACATTAGCTCTTACTTTGAATAGGAAACCACTGAAGGGGTGCGTGTGTGCACACATGTGCGTGTATTTAAGGCAGAGGAGTATCATGATCTTACTTATGCTTGTCTCTTTAAAAAAAGCCACTCTAGCTGTTATGTCAAGATAGACTGTGCTTCTGTGTGGAAGCACGGAAACCTCATAAGTTGTAGAAATAATATAGGGAATAGATGTTAGAGGTTCCTGTCAAGGTTGAATCCATGGAAACAATGAGAAAGATTGAATTCTGGCTATAGCTTGGCAGAGCCCACAATTTGTTAATGAAATTAATACAGGCTATGAAGCGAGGAAGTCAAAGATTACTCCAAAGTTTTCATCAACTTGTAGAATGCAATCGCTACTAACTGAGATGATGAACCCTACAGAAGAAGCATATTTTGTAGGGGAAGGTCTAGGACTCAGTTTTGATATTCATATATGCAAACATCTAATGTGAACTCCTCAGTATGGATTTAGTCACATAAGTCTGGAGTTCATGGAAGGAGAGATCCCAGCCAGAGGTATTTGAGTTTTTGCCTTCTTCTTTTTTTTTTTTTTTAAACCTGAAAAAGAGGATAATAATGGCACATATTTCATTGGACTGTTGTGTGCCTGGCAATAGCAAATCCTCAGTAGGCCAATAAGAGACTCTTTAGTGAATCAATTTAGTTGAAATGGATCAACATGGAAATGAATAATAAATTTAAGTAAACATATTTGATTACATACTTTTATTTTTTGTCCACAGTCATTCTTAATCCCATCTTTTTTCCAGTTTGTTTATTTCATTGTGCATGCCATGTCTTTTCTTCTTAGACTACACAAACTCCAAGTATATTACTTAATTATATAGCCATATAATTTCAGGTTAAATTGAATAGTAATCAGAATTTTAGCTAGCATAAGCAGATGCCATTTTGGCCATTTAAAAATGAAGCTGCTTTGATGGAGAATAAAAACCAATGACCAGATATGTTATTTTCAAAGCAAATATAATAATTCTCCCCCTTCCCACTACTGACAGTCTTAAGTCCAAACACTCAAATGAAATAATTACTTTACATTTATAATAATACATACTGAAGGAAGTCAATATTGAATATAAAGGAAACACTAAACTCATTGGTGGATTATGCTACAAACAGATATCATAATATTGGATTAGCTTTTCATTTTGCAAGAAATGTTCCAAATGCAACTTTACTCTCCCAGATGAAAACGCTGTTCCCTTCGATAATTAGTAATTCATAATCTAACAAGAGGACATACATAAGAACTGGGAATGCTGCTTCAACATGGGAACTCCCAAAGCAGATGCAGAGGAGAGTATTATTGTCAATTCAATGAAGGACGATATCATTTTTCTCATTAAGAGAGTAGAAAGCTTCTTAACAAAGTCTTTAAAAAAAACGACCTAGTCTTCCTTAAGGAAGCTATCTTTTTTTCACAAGAAATTTATGCTTTTTTCCTTTTAAAATTCACCAACAGTATTATTAGAAATAAGGGCACACATACAACAACAGCATGGGAGACAATAGACTAATATTATATCCAATAGACCCTATTAATAATGTTAATATGTATTGCATATGACATTTGATTTTATAAACAAATAATATAATCATTGATATTCTAAAGGTGAACAGAGAAGGTCACAGTACTATGCCAGAAAAATTAGAAGATAATAATCCAAAAGAATATTTAGAATATTGAGGAGATTTCAAAATCCTCAACAAAGTAATTTTATGACTAGTATAATGGTATAAGTCATATAATAGAACTCATATATACTTAAAGATGAAAGAAGAGACTAAGATCACAGTTGAACACAATCAAAATATAATGGTGTCATGATGCAAACAGCTAATGAAAGGAAAATGAAAAGTTGGCTAAGCATCCAAACTTGATTTTTCTTGTATCTTATATTTAATTTCAAGAGCTTTTTGGCAAAGTTATCGATTCTACTACATCTCAGATTTTTGTGATGCATTGTCTAGTCTAGCAACAAGAAGCATATTCTATCTGTACTGTGAACATTGGTTATTACTTATTAAAATTAATACATTGGAAGATTATAATGTATTAGTTGTAACTCATTAGCTAACTCATGAAACGAAGAGCCAGAATTGGTTGTCAGGCAGAATGTTAATTGTGTTTAATAAATGTTAGCTTAACCCTTTGACTGTTGCTAAATGTATCACATACATGAGTAAAGGCAGTCATATGTTGCATATGATACGGCATATAGTTCTTAATTTCCCGAGGGCAACATTTCCTATGGAGAATGGCAGGACTGCTTTTACTCTTCCCAGGGCCTTTTTATTAACACAGCTGCTAGAACATCTAGTCATTTTGTGTCATGATAATTCTACTTTGGGGAGGTAGAGTTGAAAATGGATAAAATATGGAGAAAATATAAATTACCTTTTATACCTTGAACATTAGCCTCGATGTGCAACTGAAAACACTTTCCACATATAATAGTTGAAATCAGTCGATTTTATTTCAAAGACACTGTGATCAAAAGATAGCAAAGAGATCAATAATATGCATTTTAGATAGAAATAACTGAACTTTGCCCCCCATTCCCCCAGATTTCTTTTGCATGAGTGAGACCTTTAGGAGGGCAAGGGTTTTTTTCTTCATCTTGAATTAAAACCTGTATTTTTCATTAAATTTTAGTCCATTCTAAACATTATTCACAATTTTTAGATCTTCCACCACCACCAGATCCCCCTCCAGGTCAGGGTTTAAGGCAGCAAATAGGCCCGAGCCAGCATGCTGGTAACATGGAAAACTCAACAGAGAGAAAAGGAAGCTCTCTGGAGACACCACAAGCATCCAACATAGAAGACACAAAGAGCTCATTGGATTGTCCAGCTAGAACGTCCCTAGAGTGGCAGCGACAAACCCAAGAATGGATAAACTCCACAGAACGCCAAGAAGATATACGGAAAGCCCTACACAAACAAAGTGTTGGACCAGGTGTGTTCTACACAGTCCCAAGAAAGTGTGGACTTTTACCTTTTTTTTTTTTTTTTCCCCTACCAGGTATTTTAGAAATGGCAGTTGTTTAAAAGCATCTGGAAAAAAAGTTTGCCTTGAATCCCTGAAAAGTTGGGATTTCTCAGCAGAGCTCACCAACACACATCTTAAGGCTGATTCCCATGGGGATTTTCCCCTAACCTTTACATATGGGTCTTTGAGCTCAAGAGCTTACCACGCTTCACTTGTATTGTTCAGGAGACAGTTTGATTTTTTGCCATTTAATGTTTATGTGAAATGCTTTTAAGACCTCTAAATTTCATCTTAATGTCAATTTAATCTCTACTTTCAACCAGTTTCATTTTGACTGACGTAACTAGTCTTTTGAAAGAAGAACTCACTTCAGTCAAATCGTTGAATCCATTGAAATAACAAAATTGCGTGTAAATGCACACAAATATCTCAGGATAGAAAAGGTTAAACTGGGCCTGCACTTTCTCCAACTGGTTAAATTTAGTTGATTGTTAACACTTCATTGGGAAATATTCTTGTTTATAAATCAAGCTTCCTGAGCACTGTCACAAAATAAATTTCATCAGTTGTGGTTGGATTTTCTTTGGAAGGGGTAGTGGCTGTTGGGGCCTATTGCAGAAATACATTTTCTGGAACATTTCTTCTCATATCAGGATTCATTTTCGTTGAGTATTATTAGAACATGCACACTAACACACAGCAACATTTGAGTTTCTTTACACATTGATTTTTTTAAAGATTTATTTATTTATGATAGACATAGAGAGAGAGAGAGAGAGAGAGAGGCAGAGACACAGGAGAAAGGAGAAGCAGGCTCCATGCAGGGAGCCCGACGCGGGACTCGATCCCGGGACTCCAGGTTCACGCCCTAGGCCAAAGGCAGGCGCTAAACCGCTGAGCCACCCAAGGATACCCTACACATTGATTTTTTAATTTGGACTCAATCTTTTGTAGTTGTGTCCTCTACCCATGCATTTTCAATAATTATATGGTGTCACAACCTGGTGCTCAAGGTTTTAGAAAATGTAATATATTGAAGAGCCAAAATATGTCAAGTTTCTAATTTCTAGATGTAGTGAAGCATTTAGGAAGTTTACATTATTCAGACTGTGAGAGAAAAATCACGTGATCCTTGAGATTTCATAAAGACCATCTAAGAAGAGAAATAGTCATCACAGTAATAATAGCCCATACTCAGAAAGAAAGAAAAAAACTGAGGAAGTAGAGAAAAAGTAGAAGAAAGAAGGAAGGAAAAGAAAAAAAAAGTTTCAAAATATTAGGTATTTAATAATACACACCATGTTATTTGCAGAGAGTTGATACATAAAAATATGCATTTTCATTGATTATTATTTATTTATGAAATTGTGTATTTCTCTTTTGCTTTTAAGGAAATGCACAATCTAAAATAATGTGTTCCTATCCCCAGAAACAACAAAAATTTAAGAAGCTTTTTTTAACTAATTCATAGTTTTTTTTTAGTCTAAATTGATTGAGAGAACGTTGCTATAATTTAAAGTGAAACAAAAACCATGTTTCTCCAATCTTAATTGAAAAATTTAATTGGAGCTTTACTGAACTCCAGCAATGATGCTCAGAAATGCTTTTGTTAAACAATTGGTTCATTGTATGCAGATCTCTTTTATTAATGAATTTAAGTTTTGCAAATGATACATAACATTGTATTTTTGTCCTTAAATTTATTTATTTAAGATTTTGTTTATTTATTCATTTATTTATTTATCTGAGAGAGAGCATGAACAGGGGGAGGAGCAGAGGAAGAGGGAGAAGCAGACTTCCCACTGATCAGGGAGCCCCACACAGGGCTCGATTCCAGGACCCCAGGATCATGACCAGAGCTGAAGGCAGACCTTTAACCTACTGAGCCACCCAGGCACTTTTATCCCAAATTTCTCTTAATTTAATCTTGTTTCAGTTCCTATTATAGGAAATGTCTGCACATGGAAATTCTTTTAATATCTGAGTCTTATGAAACCTCTTATTTTTAATCTTACTAAAGCGTGAAATGGTAAAGTAGCCCATCTTGAACTTAATATTTAAAGTTGTTTGTTTTGCCTCCATGTTGCTGTTCAGCTTAGCACTTTGTATATCTTTTGCAGAGGAAACATTGGTGCCATACAGCAAGCCCAGTTTCCCATCTCCGGGAGGTCACAGCTCATCAGGAACAGCATCTTCTAAAGGATCCACTGGACCCAGGAAAGCCGAAGCGTTGAGGGGAAGTCACCAACGCAATGCCAGTGACCTTCTTGACATAGGATATATGGGCTCAAATAGTCAAGGACAGTTTACAGGTGAATTATGTAAGTGCTTTAGGATAGGACATTTAAAAGGTTTTGGTGATTCAGAATGAATACTGGGTTAATAATGTAGGAGAGGAAAAAGTTTTCTTGACCCTCTTACCCTGGTTGGGTCTGAAAATTAAACTGATAAAGACAGATTAACAGGAGAAAAGCCTACAAATGTTATCGAATTTTTACATGTCTATGGAGGACTTCATAAGAGCCTGAAGACCCAAAGAAGTGACCAGAGCAGAAAGCTTTTTAGGCAAAGAAATAATAAATTTGTGAAGATTTTATGAGACAGAAGGGTTTGGGTAGAAGTAGTCAATGGTTAAAGAAGTAACTAGGAAGATAAGGGTTAGTTTAACAAGGTTTGTTTGCACAGATTTCTTGGCCCCATAACTCCCTGTCTCTGGCAATAAGAATGTCTTCCTTCCTCTGGTAGAAGGAGGATAACTTTTCATGTGAGATTTTTATGACCTATTTCAGAGAAGAAAAGGAGGGGGGAGGAAGGAGGTCAGAGTGACCTTCCTGCTTCTATTGTTTCTCCGACTTTCAGCTTTAGATATTCAGTGTGCCCAGATGTCATATTTTGGGATAGCATGTACTGAACCTCATTAATAATATTGGTACAATAAACAAATTTCAGAATAGTAGCAGAAACCTTGCTTTGCTATGATAAAAGAATCAATTATGATTTTGAGCAGGTTCAGTCATAATGTAGACCATTGCTATTTACAGCCATCCATTAAATGAATATTTCTTCTATTTCAAGTATGATTTACACTATATGAAAATAGTTATGAAAATAATATGAAAATATTTAGGCAATTAATCTTAATATTTTTAAGTTAATTAAATATACTCTGTAATTTTCTTTGCCTTTTAAAGAACCTCAGGAATTCCTCAATACCTAGTTGCTCTTCATTTATTTATTTATTTTTAATTTAGGCAGTCAACCTCATAAAGTTAATCTTTCATTTTACTTAACTTGAAATACTTTGATTGTCGTCACATATTCAATAAATAAATCTCTTTTTGAATAAAGAGGGCAACCTTGATAATATAACTTAATCTATAAAAAATAAAATACCAGGTAATAAAGATAGCATGTCATAGTATGTCATAGTAAGAAGCATTGAATTCTTTGTATTAATTTTTTTAATGAAATTTACCAATTCCGTTATCCAATGTCAGAATTATATTTTCAGCTGCTTATTTGAATTCAAGTTAAAAGCACTGCTAAAGAAACCTGGGTTCCAGTCTTCTCAACCCAGGGCAAGTAAACTACCTTCCCAATCTAATTCCTTATCTAAAAAATTGCATTACTATTACGCTTACATCACAGACTAGGGGATGCCATGAAATAAGGAAAAGTAAAAGTACTTTCAAACTGTAAAGTCTTTATTGACTAGATTTAGCATTCTTGTTGTCTATTACTAATCTGATTATTATTAAGATATGTTTGTAATATTTAATTTGATTCATGACTATTTGGATTTTTTTTTATTTTTATTTTAGAGTAATTATAAACTCACAGGAAGTGCAGAGATAGCCCTACATGGATTTTAAACATCCAAATTTTACAATGTTTCTTTCTTTCCCTTCCCATAACTACATTTTCTAACTTTACACACTCACAAAATCTATCTGATGATGTTATATTCATTTATTATCTGTTTGCTTTGGTTTTTGTTATGCTGGTCAGGATAAAAGACTACTTAATTTCAATGCAAACTTATTTCTGATTTTTTTCAATCTCTTTGTAGAGTAACTGAGAGGAGACATGCAAAGCTGCTCTGAAGGACCACCAGGTCTGAACTCATGGAAGTGATGACATTAAACAGTGCAATGAACAATTTCTTTATTTATGTACTATTAAAAGAACTGTAAATGCAATGTAAAGACACACAGCCACACATATCCCACAGATATTTTACTTGTGTTCTTCTCTTAAGTACACCACCCACCTTAACTCTTTCTTGTCAGGAGTATATAAAAAAGAAAGAAAACAAAACTCGCCCTCCAGGAAGAAAAGGATTTTCCTCTGTATATAATTTCTTTTGTGCATTGCTATGCAAGCTCACTCTTTTTAGCTCTGTTCATACTATTGTCTGTTTTTATTGGTCTGTTGTACTATATGTGAATTAATAGGCTGTGGTGCCATATATTAACTTTTAATTGTGTAACTTTTATGTTTAAATTTTGCACTGCAATTTTATTTGGTGATAAGCACAAATCTCTACTCCTCGTGACATGAAGAACAAGACTGAATGTGAAGGGAGTCTCTGTACTGTAAGCTAGGCTGGATATGCTGGTTGGAACCAATCACGTTGGATGGTTTGCAGTTGGGGTGTAGGAATAGGAAGATGCAAGGAACAGTAGAGTTGGCGAAGTCTTCTTTGAATATCAGGGACTGAGTCAATAAAAAGAAAAGCAGAAAGGTGGCTTTTACTGTTGACAAAAAGCAGGGGTCAAAGAAAGAAATTTAAGTCTTAAGGCTAAATAGGCATTGCAATAAACAGGTAGCAAAGATGTACTAAACTTGCTTTAAAAAAAAGGAAATTAAGATTATATGTAGAATCAACTTTATCTGTCATTGTAATTGACCGATCTGAGAATTATAACAAGCAAAAGGAAATTAAGGTGTTTCCAAAGAGCTGTGTTTATATTACAGTTTTTAAAAAAAACATTTTCTGAATTACCATAATTAATCTCTCCAACTCATTAAGTCAGAATATAATATGAAGTTCCCCAAGGAAACAAACAAAATGAACTGTAGAATATCTTGCAAATAGTTAAAGAGGCAATTTGTTATTAGGACATACTCGGGCTGCTTCCAAATGCAAAAACTCTATTGCAACATCTTGTTTCATCTTTCCAATACATGTACAGTACCCACTAGAGGATAGAGCTGCATCAGTTAAATTTATGACTTTTGAAAATTAATGCAGTCTATAGACAATTTTGTGTTTTATTTGATTAAGAAGTGAAGTTTATGCCACCAAATGTATAACCAAATTGTAAGTGCTTAAAAAGCAGTGCTCAGAGTATGTTCAGTTCACAGTAAGTAGATTTATTGGAATAAACATTTTATGGTACATTCTCAGAAATTGGCTGCCAACTAAAATATGTTTGACCCATTTTGAGTGAGTAAATTGGAAAGAAAATTTAAAAGGACAAAAATGCATGTTTATATACTTTTTAAATAAAACCAAACCTCATTAAGTGGACATTCATAACAGTGTCCTGCCTCATTTGTTTTCACGACTTTGAGAGCAAGAAATTCCTGAAAATCGGTCATGAATGGTCAAAATGAATATGACTTTGAAATGTATGTCAGCCACCATACATGTACAGTCAATCAAGTAGAAGAGAACTTCCCTGAAATTTCCACCTGTGACATTTTTCCATGTGCTGCCTACACAACTGTAAATTCTATTCTAGTTATACTTTCTCATGTTTTTCCTATGATGTGTTCAGTAGTTGGTACTTTGAAAAATATTCAATGTAATGATTAGAATCAGTTATAAAATATGGGACCCACTTGAATGACAATGACAATTCATACTCCATGCACGATTGACTTAGTCACCAATTCAATATCATGTTATTATAGCAAAGGAATAGTATATAATTCATGTTTTCTATCTTTTTTGTTCCCTGAGACTGCTTCAACACAGGCAAGAGAGGAGAAGTTTAATGGTCTTTATGAGCCCCAACACCTTCTTGGTGCCATAGAGTTCATTTCTTTGCAGAAGAGAAAACATAGTTGGAGACACACTAATTAAAGGCTTTATCAACTTTCTACCACCAGTGCCTGAATTTTAATGCAGTTTGATCTCTCTGGGTGAGATTTTGGAGGGAAGATAAAAAGTTCCTATGAAGAGCAAATATGTACTCTTCATAACTGCAAGATGTGAGGAATTTAATTTTTATTTATGTAGTTCTCTATTTTGCCTCTTTCTATTTAAAAGCAAACAAAGTTTTATTCATTTGTGTTCCCTCTTTATGCTTGTCTGTAACCCACTTTAGATTAAAGCTTTAATTCATTACATTTATTACACATAGATCTTGATCCCTAGTGTGACTAATAAACCAAGACTTCAATGTAGAGTATGTGTATGAAAGTGACTTCTGGAATAATACAGGACATAGCATCATACCTTCCCGATCATTTTCAGTCTATAAAACTTAACTGTTTTGGTTAGATTTTGGCAATGCTTATAGTTACTTGAAATGTGCTAAAAGAGCATTCCACATTCCCTGTTAAATCGAGTTTTATATAAATTAGTAAAATCTTGCACCCAGTGTATCATTCTCACACAGATACAGAGCAAGATACAATGCTGTAGCTATCCAAATGAATTCAGGAATCTTATCAAAAAATCAAAAGCTTTTGTCAACTTACATCAGAATGTCATTAGAAGAATACAAACATGTATAAGACCTACTGTATTTTTTTTTCCTTTTGTAAAATGAAGGTGATTAGAAATTCACTGAGCTCACTCTTCTGCAGGTCTAAATAAGATCTGTGTAACTTGTCAGAAGGCAATCTGGATGGGAGAGAATGTAAACTTATCTTGCACTCACAGGCAATGCTATTGTGCAGTCAAGCCCCAGACAACACAGCTCCATTCTCAACATGCAAAGTCTCCACTGGGGAAAAGCCAATCAGTGCCCCAACTCAGGTATGCCTCAGTGTGTGTAGGCAGAGCAGCCCCACCCCTTCCCAGATCTCTTCATGTCATATTTAAAGTGGGGTAGTACAAGGGCTTGAAAACAATTGATCCCTTCACAGGAGTTGAACCCAGTTCAAGGGAACATGTAAGAAAATCAAGACCAACATTTAAGGTGTCATATCAAAGGGAAGTGAAAACTTGCAAGTAGACTTGCTCTAAGTAACAAAACAGATAAAACGGTGTTCTATGGTCATAGTTTATTGCTCTGGGTATTTAAAGATATCTTCAATGGGATTCAAGTGGAAAGTTTGTATGATCTTGGATAGAATACCTCCAAATTTCTATTCAACAAATTTATGTAAATTGTCCATCAATAACATAATTATAATAATATCAGTGAGCTCTAAACTGCGGTTTATCTTTGCCACTGGAAAGTGATTGTGTGTCAGTATTAAAGATATGCAGAACCATGACATTCACTAATTTGTACATCTGCTTCTGTACATTGTATTTATAAAGTTACATGACGAGAATTGGTGTAAAGCAATGTCTTTCCACATTATCTTAGAGATGAAGTTACTTTTACTTTGCTTCTCTATAATGTGTACTTCAATTGAAATCCCATACCTTTTTTTCATTGAAATTCAATTTACTAATTTTTCTTATCTCATGATTTTCAAAAGCATTTATTGTGACTTTAAGGTGTTGCAAGATAAGGGATTTTGTGGCCGTGGGTAGACTTTTTATACTTTGTTTTATAGATGGACTTTTTTTTAACTAGTCTGTTTAAGTCACCAAACAGCGTCCAAAATCTTAATGTGTTTCATTTGATGTTGTTAGATCAGAAAAGAAATTGGCATAAAATTGGTTAATAGTATTGTCAAAGAATTGTGTATTGTGTACTCACTGGGAAAAAATAAAATATATTCACATTTCAAATTTGTAAAAAAGCCATTTATGTAAAACAGACTTGCCTGGGGAAAAATCAAAAACAGACCATTCTGTCACTTTTGCAACTCTACATTAATATTTTGTGACCAAATGCATAATCTTATTTTCTCAATTAATAATGGATTGGGCAGTGGGTGGTGGATAGAAATTGGCATTGACTTATAGTAGTCACTATACTAATGACACTGATGAATATAAAAAGCATTTGAAATTATAGATCCCACTCTATAAGCCTTACTTTTCATATCTGATCTTCCCCACAACATAAAGACCTTCAGATAGATAGAATACAAACTTCGCATCTACAAAACTACTTTAAAAATTATTCTCGAAGTATAGATAAGTATGAGAATTGGAAGAAAGTGTGTATTTCTTTTTTTTTTAAGATTTTATTTATTTATTCATGAGACACACACACACACACACACAGAGGGAGAGAGGGGGAGAGAGAGAGAGAGAGAGGCAGAGACACAGGCAGAGAGAGAAACAGGCTCCATGCAGGGAGCCCGACGTGGGACTCGATCCCCCACGTCCAAGTTCACACCCGGTGCTGAAGGCGGTCCTACACTGCCGGGCCACCGGGGCTGCCCGAAAGTATATATTTCTTAATTGCCTTAGGATAACTAATGATAACTTTCTAGGATGATGGATGTTGAAAAGTGATATTAAGGACAGGATAGAAAAGAGGAATTCCCTATTTTATTGTACCTCATGAATATTTCATTCTTTTTCACTAAGTACAATTACAGGATCAAATTATTGCTAAAATAAAAGAAGTTCATGTATTCTTTAAGATAATATAGTAATAGTAAAAATGAAATAAAACTGAGCTCTGAAAGATTATATTAAAAAGATTTTTAAAGCACAATGTAAGTCGAAAATAAACTTAAGAGTTTCATGTAATTTATATTAATAGGAAAATAAAATGCTATTAGAAGAATTACAAATAATGTATTAATGTAATAGAATGGCATAATATGTGTGATTAAAGACAAACATATCAGTTACCAATATGGTAAATAGTAGGAATTATAAAACAATCATTGTTTTATTGAATTTGGGTTCATTAAAGAAACACCTACAAATGAAAAAGTGCAAAATTATTGGAAAGATTTATAAAATAATACACTATGCTCTCTTGATTATTACATATTAGCTCTATAAAAGATCTATCAGTGTTGCAGGAAAGCATTTTAACAAGATATAACATTTAGTGCCCTCATGTGAAAGTGCATTTTATAATTTACAAAGAGAAGATTGCCCAAGTTCATGCTAAATTTCACTTCATAACAGAGATGTGAAATAAAACTTCAGTAACTAGCAAAGCCAGTTGCAAGAATTTACAAGAAAAGCCAGGTAGAAAAACTTACTAGGACGGGAATATAGCATGCTGTCTCAAAAAGTTCTCAAGGGCTCTTTCATTTCGATGAATTTAGTGGAGTCTTAGTTTTAGTTTTCAACCTCAGAGAGAATTTGCTTCAGGTCCAGAGAAGGAATTTGGTATAAGAGATGGTTGCAAAGCTGTCAAGAACCCTAGAGACAGATACAGGAAAATTATAAGGCTATATGTGATCTGCCTTTGTATCTTCCAGCTCTGGCAGCAGTCAAGCTACAAGACATATATTCAGTCATCTTGGCATTTAGACAGGGGAAGGCACTTGTGTTTGTGATTCAAAGACAGTGACCTTGGGTGCAGGTCCATGTCCATGATAGGGAATTTTCAGGTCACTGTAACTGCCCTCAGAACATTACAACGTAGCACCATTTGCCTATTAAATGCTTTGATGTATGCAGCTTCTATGTAGTAGACAACTTTTTTTGGACAATTTTTACACAGTGTTTCTTTAGACAACATTTCTGAATAATTTGTTTCTGACAAATGTTTTGTTTTTTGTTTTGTTTATTTATTTATTCATTCGTTTTTCAAGCAAGTACTGAAATATTGTGCTGTTATACAGAAGTTAAAAGAGAAATACCTTTTGCTTTCGTAAATAGATGAGTATCTTCTTTTAGTATGGCCCTGATCTTTGGGAAAGTCTCTTTTTGATGAATGTTTTTGAGCTAAGAGGAAAGAGGTAATGAGCAAGGCTTCCAAATACATTTGCAAGCAATAAAATCTGCATTAGTTTCATTCATACTCCCTCACCATATCATATTGTCCATATTCTAGTCTTCCTCAAAATAGTCTGGAATTTTAATGGGTATTTTGGAAATAAAAAAGAAAACAATGGGTGAACATGTAAAGAGATTTCAAATTTGCTCAAAATTTTTTTTAAAGATTTTTATTTTTTTTTTACTCATGAGAGACACAGAAAGAGAGGCAGAGACATAGGCAGAGGGAAAAGCAGCAGGCTCCCCTCTGGGAACCCAAAGCGGGACTTAATCCCAGAACCCCAGGATCATGACTTGAGCCAAAGGCAGATTCTCAACCACTGAACCACCCAGGTGCCCCAAATTTGCTCAAATTTAATATGACATAAAACCCTTTGTCCTGAGGCATCTTATGGAACTAGTACTTTGTGACACCCACTTTGAGAAACATCATTCTGTCCCTAGGCTCTATATTTGTGACCCCAAAAGACCCTTGCTGTGGTTTTGCCTTTTTCTTGCTGTAGTTTTTTAAAGTCACTATCAACTCATGAGAAAGAAATGTGCGAATCTCAGGTATTCTGTGGAAATAAAAAAGAAAAGATGTTCAGTGACAAATTGCGTGTATCCTTCCCACTTATGACAGACTTTAAGTACTTAATTGAGATCAGTGCTCACCACTTGAGCAATAGGAACGATTGCATTATGTTCTTCAGCTTTTCCACAATCCTTTTGTATACCATTAAGTCTCCAAATCATTATACTAAAACTAAAGCAGGTAAATACACTCATTGTCTCTCCCTGCCCAAATCCCAACTCTCACAAAAGTATGATTTATTCACTTTTGAGACCACTTCATGATTACTGTGAAGTTCCACTTCAAATGAAAGTTTGCTAAAAATAATAAAAAATAAGAAAATTAACAAAAAAATTGTAGCTCACACAAAATTTAGGGAGAGAAGACTTAATGATTTCTTGGTAAGAGAATATAGAACTAAGTCTTGGTGGAAGGCAAAATGCAGTGAATTAGTAATGATGAAAATCAGTGTACATAGAAGAGATAAATATAAAAATACAAAAGAGAAATTGAGGATTACCATTATATGAACTTTCACTGGCATTGAATATAAAAGAATATAAGAGAAATTAATGTGGAGTGGGGGAGTTAGAATTTAAATTCACTTAATTAATTTTGAGATGGTAGATGAATGCAATCAATAGATTAAAATGTCCCAACATAGGTGATTTGAGAATAATTGCCTATGGTAATGATTATTCTAATAAAAAGGATGGAATAGACAAATGGAAGCAGCCTTTCAAAAAAGACATAAATGGAGAGTAGCATTCAGCTTAAGAAGAAGGATTAAAAAATTTCAATAAATGTGCAAGCATTTCTTGTGCAAGTAATTATCTATTAAGGATTAAGCCTTGTTTTCATTAATGTTGATGATATTAATTTTTTCTGAATGTTTTCCTGGCATTTAAGGTATTCTACACTATACCTAAAATGTATAACACAAACACCCATATACATATGATGATAAATTTAAAGAGCTATGTGTGCTAAATATTTAATACCATATAATTCTTACTAAAATCATTTGAATAGTTATTATTTAAAAGGTTAAAATATATAATGATTATAAGAACTGTTTTCATCAATGAATCTGAAGTGGAAAGATATTTTGAATCTGTTCTAATAACAAGCCAAATAAAAAGAATCATAATGCTTAAAATATATTATATAGCTAAAAAGATTCCTACTATCTGTAGGAAATTCACATATCCATGCATGTAGACACGTATACATATACACATATGCACATGCACACATACATATATATACATATATAAATAATTTCAAATCAATAGAATCTAAGGTATGATGAATAGATTCATAGACTATGGAAAAGAGACACTAAGAATGATTATCAGGGTCAAAACAGACATTCCAGACAGAATAATGCTTCCAATAATTTCTATTTCTCTAGACATATTATGTATGTACTTATATGTATGTATTCATATAATGTACATTTATGTTTATATATGCACTTATATTTGCATATATGTGTATGCATGCTCATTTTATATATATTTATATGTATACATATACTGTACACATATACAAATATGTATTATGTACATCACATACATATAATATGTTCATATGTACATATGAATAAATGGATATTTTGTTCTTCAAATAACCAAATATTTTTAAATTAATAAATAAATATTGTATACACAGGATTTTGCTTGGCACAGTATAGCAAGGCCTGGCAGCAATAAATCGTACAATCTCATTATGAACTATTTGGAGGCAATATAAAGCATAGAGTGAACTGTATTAGAAATAGAGAGTGGGGGCACCTGGGTGGCTCAGTCAGTTCAGTGTCTGCCTTCAGCTAGGGTCATGATCATGAAGTAGTGAGACTGAGTCCCGCATTGGGCTTCTTGCTCAGCTGGAAGCCTGCTTCTCCCTCTGCTTCAGCCTACTGTGTGCTCTTGTTCTCTCTCTCTGTCAAACAAATAAAATCTTTAAAGAAAAAAAAAAACAAATAGAAAGTGAAGCAAATCATGTATGATTGTGAGTGTTTCAGAAATCAATTTCAGGAGTTGACAGGAGGGAGTACAGAGGTTTGGTGTGGGCAGATTTCAGTGATACAAAGTGTTGAGTCAAGGAAAGGATTGGTAGAAGACAGCCTGGAGGAGGGAAAGTACACATGATACAGTCTCTAGTCCACAGGAAACCTCAATCTGATCAAAGAACCAGTGAACTGAGCCAACATTTCCAATTTAGTGGAATCCAAGATATGCTAAATGCATGCAGCATGTTACTGTGACGTATGGAAGGTGGGTGCTTAATTCCGACTCTAAGAGTTAAGATAGG